CACAACTGTAGTCCGTCAAAATCGTTCCCTTTCGGTCTTCGCTTCCTCTATATCGCTTCGCTTTCGCAATCTAGTGAAGTTTTTTATTTTCATACCTTTTTTGTAAAATGATCCACCGAGAATCGAGACAAACCTACACACATAGCACCACGGACATTGCTATTCAAGCGTAAGCAGCCAATAATTATTTAACTTCTAAACATTATTTGCATTGAGAACCTGCAAACGTGCAATGTGTTTTCTTCTTTTACAATATGATTTTCCCCACGGTATTTTGATCTACCTGCAGGTTTCATTTCCTGCATATTACGCAAACGCTCATGCTAGTATTTTGCGAAATTGCTTTATTATATACAATGTGAGTCAACTTCTAGTACGAACTTTGAAATGCTTTGACATGGTTATATATAACATGAAATGCCTATAGCTCAAGTTTTTTTGCATATTTTAAAAATTTAACACATTTTCACTCATTTTGCTACATAATATTCCGCACAATTCGACAATGCATATTAGGTAAAAATGCACAGGGGAAAATATCTTCACCAATTTCAAGAATTAGGATTATTTTAGAGATGCTTATTTGGACACCCCAAAACATCCACTATTTCCTCTCAAATGTGATTTACCATTTCAACATAATGCTTTTTAAACATTTTTTGTGTAGCGGTCATATTTTTGACTAATTATAACCAGTGTAGTCACCTCGTCGTGCTAACTTTGGTTTGTGTAAGTGTTTGTTGGAAAATTGTTTTGCTGTTAGAAATTACCTGCTTTACAATGCGCTCACCTAATTAAGGCAAAGCCTTTCCTGGTTGATAAGTACTGTACTTCATTGCACAGCCATGGGAATTCAACGAAAGCCTTTCATTCTTTATCGAATAAAAAACTATCAAATCACCTATCTTCCCACGGGAAAAAGATCTGCTCATACATTTCTTAACTTTTTTTACGAGAGAGAGAGCACCAAAATAGTTGCGCGTATTTTAAGAATATGTAATGAATTTGATCAAATGCCTATCCGCATTTGCTACATAAATTAACAGGAATCTAATAGTGAGCAAGAACTAGGCATCTTTAGTCATTAGTTATTAGTTTTTTTTTCACTTTTTAAATGGTGTATCAAAAAGTTTGGAGAAGATTCGTACTAGTTGCGACGACTTTTTTTTTGCATTTTTTTCTCCTTGCCCGTCATTGACAGCTGAAGTACATACTTTATGGTGGTTTTAAATACCAAGACGAAATCCACCCAAATTACTTTCGCAAAGTATTTCTTCCTGATGTGAATTAATACACGACTACACAATCACCACAACTCATAGGAGATGTCAGTAAATTGCATCTATATATCGATGCAGCAGATGTTGGGAAGATCAGACACCCTTTCTTCCCACACCCGGCCAATCCCCACGCCCTATGTCAATTTGTCTAACCAATCGGATCGAGGGTGTATTGCGTAGCGTCACGTCGTTGCATGGCATTTTCTCCCACTGCCCTTTCCATCGCCCTACTGTGCACATTACCTCTTCCCAATGTAGGTTTAACAAATTCTGCAACTACTGGCCCTCTGTTGATCCTTTAAAATTGCCATCTTTTCAAAGAGAAAGCACCACTCTTAGCGATGCCTTTGTTTATGAAATCATGCATTCACTTACAGGACAGATGATACCTCAAGCTCGGACAAAGAGAAGGAGAAAGAGGAGGAGGTCTACGATTTTAGGGAGCCCTTCCTTTTCAGCGACATGGTTCTTCTAGTGGAAGATGAACGTCTTCACTGCCACCGGGCTATTCTCTCTCTCTACTCTCCCGTCTTTAAGGCCATGTTCCAGTCGCGTTTCGAGGTAGGTTATCGTAGCGCTTCCAGTGGACTGAGGAAGTGGTCAGATCGCATATCTCCCTCCATCCACTTGTTCATTCATCCATCCATTCACCCCTCTGTCTACCTCCTATGAAAATGTTTCTTCATTTACCTCCCTTTCATTCTTTGCAAGTACCCTCAAGCTCCACGGTTAATTCCACAGTTCACTCTGTCTATAGGTAAACAAGCAAGTAGGTCAAAAAATTGGCATCTTTTATTTCCACATAACAGCGATTTACCGTGGGAAAAGTCGGCTGCTTCTTTTTAAGGGATTTATTTCTCCCTTTTTTGATCTCTAAAAAATTTGCCCCTTTGAATGCCATAAGAAAGTGAGGGCTGTGTTGGAAAGTATTGAGTCATCATATTTTGCCAGATAAACTGTTTCTCTATCTCCGTCTCCAGCCCATCACCCACTTCATATGGTAGGCAACACGACCTGATTCCCTACTTACTCCTTGTCATTCAGCATACCATGGAAAGTGGCATAAACGCCCTTGGTCAACAAACATTTAGAAGAAAAGAAACCACACACACATCATCTGCCAACTTGAATAAGTAGTGTAGAATAGCCGTAGAAGATTGTGGTGCTGAAGGACTGTGGACATATTCCCCTGGGCAAAAATGTCTTTCCCAAGCTTTGACGATTACTTCAAGAAAGAGGAAAAGTCGGCTGCCTTTTGGAGCAAGGATTGCTTACTTCTTTCCAGGTAGCAAAACCCAACTTTAGCGATGCTGATGCACCATCAAATTCAACCCCATACGAAACGGAAGTTCGCCATTCTTCAAGTGTCATTCAGAAGTTGGAACAAATTTCCGCCTAACCTCCAATCAGTGAAATAAACACCTACGTTGAACTTACGGTGTATGCCACATCTTTACTAAATTATCACTTCAAATAGGAAGAAAAACCTAGGAAAGGTGTTTCATTCCTTCCAGGTGTAAGTTGGCGATGGAAATCAGGCATGAAATCGAGCCAGATGTTTGGATCCTCTATTACGATCCCACTACTTCTTCAACAGGTGATGAAGAAGTAACCGCTCCAGAACAAGTTCTTTTTTTCATCTTCTAAATTCGATCAAACTGCTTTAGACGTAGATAACTTGATGAGAGTAGCTCTCTTAAAGTGGTAAGGTGCCAATTGTCACATCGGTGGGGAGTGAGTGCAGGTAAGAGAGTCTAACCCTTACATAGGTATGACGTTGGTAGAAAATGTCTTAAAAGCAGGTTGCTGCTACCTGTCACATCTAATGGCAATCTGGTGATGTTATCTAGGAGACATCCTCCAACCAGGTGTCTTTGCCCAAGGACGATGCAGAAACGGTGAGAGAACTTCTGCGGCACCTCTACACACCCGGTGGCTGCGATATGGACAGTAAGTTTGCATCTGCCCCCGCTCTTCCTTTTGTATGTGTCAGTGTTTGGCTTTGTCTCAGTAACTCTGTCGGTTCCCCATCATTCGACTTCCGCTTTTGACTCGCCGACCGAGGCCATTGTTGGCATTTGCTTGAACCTAGCAACCAGTATCCGATGTTGGTTACTGGGGGTGTAATAAGAACATCGTTCAAGTCGAATCGGGACTTCGGGGTTCACAGACCCAACAAGGCAAACTATCATGGCAGTGTTGCGCTCGGTAGTAACCTCTAAGCATTTCGCTTGCGTACTAAAAGCTCCCGCATGTATTCACACATACACAATCGCACCATTCATGAAAATGACAGCAGCCAATAAGGTGGGCCAATAGATGGTAGGCGGTGGAATAGCAAGGACTGAGGTACCAACGATGCGCCTTGTGAGTAATGAAGACGCACAGTGGTTCTTCACTCGTTTCGGATGAACCCTTCAAGGACAGCACAATATGGTGGTGCCGCGCCCTACCGCGGTAGAACATTTGCGCCGTATGTCAACGTTTTCGAATTCATTTGTCAATGGCGACGATGATGACAGTAACCCCGATGGTGAATGCGTACACTGCCATGAATTAACGTTCCATTCATGGGGGCCAAATTGACGCACAACACATCACATGACAAAATTACACAGGAGAGAAGCATTAAATGCCATTACCACTTTCTGCTCTCAAAAAACAGTAGAGCAGGTTCTTCTACGATGGTTCTACTACTACTGACAAGCTCTTTTTATCCACAAGTGTTGCTATTATTAGTTAGGCGTTGGAAGACATGATCGGTTGGCCATTTCCATCGAGTGGAATTATTCATCTGTATACTCCTGGGTCCGGTTTTGACTTGAACACCCATTACAGTCCGCCAGATCGTTTTTCCTGGGATACCAAAATTGTCGAAGTGAAGCTCCTCATTCTGGGCTTACAGAGGTACTGGGGTGTTGGTACTACGGATAGTAAAATACCAGAAGACCAAAACGGCCTACAATGCCAAATTGCTTGAACAAGCCTCGACGTCGCCCAGGTTCACTACTTGCCATAGTCAGTTGCCCTTCAAGGCGAAAAATTACTTAATTCCATTGCTTTTAATAACGTCCTCTGTCACGTCTCCTTTGATAGCCTGCCTCAATGCAGAGGGCTACTTACTTGACAATGTTCAAGTCTGGATGCTGTTTGTGAAAAGGTCAATTCCATGCATCAGCCGGTGCAGAAAGCGGATTGGTTCTCAATTTCACGCATCCTAGAAACCGCACTATTTGAGGTGGCAGTAGAGTCCACCAATCTTGAGGTTTGTTTGCCATGAACGTACAGGAGGGTTTGCAGACGTGATCAGAAGACCATGCGTCACCAGTGTGTGGACTAACTCGTGGAAGACAACAGTAACCTGGACATTCATATAGGCGCCTCTAACAAAAGGCTTTCTGCTACAAAGCGATGCAACACTCTGGAAGTTGTCAAGGGAAACAAAAGAGGCTGTTTAAACTCACATAAACCACTTTGCTAACCCGGTTTTCCACCAGTGTTGCCCCGATTTATCACATAAACACAGCGTCACAAATATGCGACACGCATTTTTCACACTAAATCCTATGCCTTAGGGGCAAATTGACCGATTTAAAGCAACAATCGGGTGCTGGACCTCTTTGATGTGAGGGCATTTGCAAGGTTTTGGGTTTTACGATAGCAGTTAAAGTAGTCAGTCTGGTAGTGCAAGTTTTGATGTTTCTTAGAAAGGAGAGGTGATTCCTCTCGGCAGACTTGCCAGCTGACTGAAAGAATCAAGTCAGAAAAATGAGAAAGAACGAGAGAGAGAGAGAGAGGTGTGCCTTTCCCCAACAGCATTTCTACCCTAAATCGACCTCTTCTCTTCCTCTGGGTCAAGGTGCTGCGGCACAACGACTGCTTCCACTCATCCATCGATTTCAAATAGACTCGCTGATTACCACAGCAGAACGAACAATGACCTTCAGTATGACCGATTCTCTGGCTCCCAAGATGTTGGCACTGGCGGATATGTATCAGCTGAACCACCTCAAACAGGCAGCCATTGATGCCTGCACACGCCTTGACATGAAGCGCATGGCCGAGGCCCTAGAGGAGACACCGCTATCTGCTGAATTGAAGTCCACCATCTTTGAGTGAGTTAAAAGTGCTTTACAGATTTTATTTGTCTTCTCACACTCCTTCTCTGCCTGTCATGTCAAACTGGCGTCTGAAGAGGCCTTATCCATTTATATATTTCCAATATCCTCTTAAGGATCTGAATTCGCCCCTTTCCACTTGTATCCGCTTGGATTTAGCTGCTGTTCAACTTATCTCCCAAAATGCCTCCCCTAGTCTGTGAGTCTTCCTCGTTAAGGCTCTTAGACAACTTCTAAATCTTTTTCGGGCAAATTTTTGTGACATCATGCATGTGGGTAATGGAGAAAAGTGTGGTAGATCTACAGGAAAACTAGTTTTCGGGTGCAAAGGGGCTCCGTAGAATGCGGCCCAACCGGCAAATTGAGGTCGTACCTGTCTAGAAGCCGGATGCAAAGCCCAAGTAGTGGACACAAATGAGATGCACGCCACCACCTCCTTCGATTGTTGTGAAAACTAGGATTACGATTATGTTACTCGATGTTGTATGCCCTTGAAGTCACTCCAGAGAAGAGTGGAAGGAGAAATATGCACTCGAGTGGTCTGATCATCACGTGACTGTGAAGTGGATCACATCTACGATATTCACAACTCAACTTGACTACTCACCTCTCTTGGATGAATCGCCTTGTTTGAGTCACTGCCACTGGAAGAGTTCGCCTTGAGTCACTTCGTCCACACTGCGACCCGTGGCATAATGCGTGGGTGGGAGCCATTGGCTTTGTCGCCAGCAAAACATCCCCTTCCCAGGTCGTGTAGCTGTCAACTCATTTCTGCATCATTCACAGGCTTGACAGGCTCATCTCCACTTCTTCTTTTGGAACACGACACGCCATCACTGGAAGGAGATTGTTTGCAGCTTTTCGGAGCGGTCCAAGCCTCTACCAAACTGCCTAAAACTTGGCGAGTTTTGTTACGGTTTGTGCGGAAGAGTGGCCCTATAGCAATGGTAGGGAAGAAGAGCATTTAACAAATGGCTCGAAGGAGAGAGGAGCTTTGGCTGCAAGGCTGAGAGACCATTCGTCTACTGTTAAACGGGGGGGACAAACATTAACCGATCAACCCATCCGCCCTTGTAACTTTTCTAGCAAGGCATTCACCAAACACAACGCAATTTGTTCTCCTTTTTTTCTGGCATTATGACATGAGCGATGGGAGCACTTGTGTAGTTGTGGTTGTCTGGATTTTTCACTTTTTGACTTCCTTTTGCTTGAATCCACCGGTGTTGCTTTCGGTGGTTTAAATTGGCTGTGAAGGTTTTTTTTGCCACAAAACCAATCAGAGCCCTCCGCTTACCCAACAAAATGTGGAATTTTTTTGTATTAGCATATTCACTCGTAGCTTCGTGTTGTTTTCCACGGAATTTCGAGAAGTGCTTCTTTTGTTGTTTTCGTCACCGTCGTCAAAAAATGGGTGACCTCCCGAATGCAGCGCGGTGATTGGCTAAGGCAGCTGTTCGGGTGGGTCGCTGCGAGGTATGGATGCATATTTGCTCCCAAGGAGGGAGGAAAAAGCATTTCTTATTTCCTCTATCCACACGCATATACACGTTCTAGAATCTTCTAGAATGTTCCTAAGCTCTCCGGGGCCAGAGTCATGTGCTCCATCGAGGTCATCCACCACCGTGCATTGACTTGCCTTTCAAGTGAAGTGCGGCAGACTAACAGCCTCTCCGTCAGCAGGCGCGGCGTTGTCTCCCAAAGGCGTCCAGATGCACATCAAAACCTGTTGAAAAAGAGGGGGACTGTTAAGCCTCTTCGATACTCCCTGCGGGAAAACAATAGTGATGCCACCAGAAGAAAAAAAACCAAGACATTTTCTGTCAAAGAGAGAGTATTTCTTCAAGTAACTGCTTCTTTAAGTTGTCAACATCAGAATTTATGAAGAGATTTGCCACTGTTTTTCTGTAACTATACCAACCTGCATTACTCATCGTCAAAGTCGCATTAAAATTCATGCAGAAAGTGGGTTTTGTGAGGGTGGGTTGACGTCGTCCTTCCACAGGTCTGCATGAAATTGAGACCGTAAAAGTCGACTCTTCTAGGTAGTAGCGACATTTCTTTTTACTGCTACAACAAATAGATGAATGTATTTGAAGTGGGGGAAAAATCTACCTATATCCCTAAAGCATTTACGAATAAGTCAAATATGATTATGTACACGTCAAAACGGGACTGAGTTTTATGCGGGCAGAGGATGGGGAGATTTTCAGGAGTGGAAAGCGCTTCCACCTCTCGATGCAGTCATCCACCAATGCATATTCATAATTTTTTAAGGGTTTGGCGATCATTTGGTCTGCAAAATAGGTTTAATGTGGAAGGATTTGACAGTTCGACCGGACTATCCTCAGCCGTCGTTTCCGTGTAGACAGGTGAAACTGCGACCACGTCAAACAGACTCTTCTGGAAAGTGAAAATACTTTTTCTCCTTTGAACAACAAGTAGGTGGATGCGTTTGAAATTGGGAAAAAATTTACGTATTCCACGAAAATATTGGCGAATGTGTTAAATAGCTTGTGGTTCACATGAGACCGGGACTGAGTTTAAAGTGACGGGGAATCCACAAATCGGCAGGATTTGAAAGCACTTATCCCCCTTGATGTAGTCATCGGCTGATACGCTTATCTTCAGGGTTTTGACTACTGTCTGGCCTTCAAAGTAGCTGCGATGTGGGAGGATTTGACTGTACTACTGAACCAGCCTTAGACAGCCTGCTTCATGTTTTCATCTGTCAGAAGCAGAAGGGCGTCTCGCTGTTTGTGTTTGTGGATGATTGGGTTGGGCTTCGTGTCTTCACAGAAGGAGACAGGTTATGCATCCATGGAGCATCCAGAATCAGGATGAAATTGAAGCCCTCCTAACCCTGAATGTTCGTCCACCCCAACGAATGCGTAGTGTAATGCAAATTGACGACAGAAACATCACGGCTGGAATACTCGTCGCCGTAGCGGCAGACGATCGGCCTCCCTTGAAATGTTGGCGTGCTGTGCATATATTCCATCGCGATAGATCGTGTCATCACCAAATGACACTGTCCTTGAAGGCTTCATTCGATAGGAATGGAGAACCGCCTACTAGCGATTTGACCGATTTTTGACCGCTTTGTGTTGGGGGATGGTGGCACGGGACGCGTGCGGGAGCTTTTGCTGCATAGAGCGGTACTCGTAGAATTTACTATCACCTCCATCACCAACAACATGGTGTTCCTTGTTGCGGATGTAAATCCAAACATGTCGATTTGACTTGTACGCCTGGTACCGAAGCCTCCTTTATTTAAACTTTCTTTCAAAAATTCCTTCCAATTTTTTCCTTAACTGCACAATATTGATGAATTGAGGGCTCAGAAAGGTATGGAGTAGCTTAAAGTACAGCGTAAATTTACGGCAAAGATGCTTCTAGTGTTCATGCCCTCTTCTCTACTGCCGCTTGAATGACGCAATACCGCCTCGTGTGAATAAAGTATTGAAGAATCTCTTCATCAGAACCTCTAGCTTCTACTTATCGTAGATTGATTAGCATCTTGAATGGAAATCAGGGAAAACTGTTCCTCCTTTGTTTTATCCGCATGGAATTGCGTATCATTCAATCACTTATCATTCCACCATTTCATTGGATCGTTAAAAATATCTGAAGAATTTCCAGTGATTCCTCTCAATTCATCACCGAGGCGGTTACCAATGTCGAGTACGTATGACATTCCGATTTGCCTTCCTGAAGGCAAAATGACATTTTGTGCCGTAGCATAAAAATAAAAACACGCGACCCGCGGCGGCTGCCGCGGCTCCTCGGAGGTCGTGGCACCAAAAGTGCCCATTTCTGATTGACTTTGAATGCCCGATCAGTCCAAACGGTTCCTACTTGATTCTTTTCGCCTTCTCGAGAGGATTTTCCGATTTATTTTTTGACTAGAATTGTTGTGTGTGTAAGCATCTTTACAATGGTCATTGCTAGGGGAATGCATTGCTTAGCCCCTCTCAACAGAAGGCACCGAGTAAATCACAAAAACCCAATGTCTCAAATTAGACAAAAAGAACTGGCCTTACATTCCGGAGCATCGACAAATCCTCCATGTGATAGCGAAAGTTTTGAGCACTTTGTCATTTTACTACTGAGCTAGGCTTACTAGGCACCGGAGGTATCTCTATGGTTGTAGGGGATAACCAACCACCATAGCTTATGTAACTCCACCTGTTCCAGCACTTTTTGTCTTCCTCTCCAATCTCCTGTCACATGTGAGAACGATGCCGATTCAGGTAAGACACCCGGTGCGTCACGCATATGTGACGGTAAGGGTTTCATCTGTCTAGCTCTTAACTGACAATGTTTTTAAATAATTGAGGAATTTTTCTCGTTCCTTACAGAAGACGCGTCCTTCTTTTGGAGAAAGTCATCACCGACATTGAACGCAGTTTCAGCCAGTCCTGCATCCGGATGGAGAGCAAATTGGAGCGAGTCTTTACCAACCACTGCCAAATTCACAGTAAACCACTTTCTACCACTACCGTTCCAGTGAGCATCCAACTAACCAACGCGCCGGCTAATGACATCGACCGACTCGTAATTCGTCCAGTGGAGGCTAGTGCTCAAGACTCCGCCTCCACTAATAATGTTCGTCTCACCACTCGGGTGCTGCAATCCAACGCCAGTGATGTGGACATTCCCAGATCACATGAGTTAGCGGAGGTTGCACCTGGATCGTCTTCTGCTGTCACGACAGCTCTTGTTGAAGTGCCAGCAGTATGCGAGAGCTGCGTGGAACGCATTTCCACACACATTAAAGATCTCTGTCGTCGAGCTTTACACAAGGCTCAATTCGTTCCCTATAAACCTACGGTCATTACCAGCACATCATCAGCTTGATGTCGATGGGGAGTGCGTGAACTCACTTGCGTGCACTACTGAGAAAACACTGTGATAACTGGCACCATTTTTTGTGGCTCTAAGGAGTCGACATGGCTTTGCTCCATCCCTGTGTGTTTATTCCTCCTCTGACTATGCGAATTGACTCGTGGTTTACACAGGTCCAAGGTTATAGGTAATGTCTGACCTGCAAGGTAGTCACGACGTGGAAAGACTTGATCATTCGTCTGAAGCATCCTCAGAGAGTCTGCTTTATGCCGTCGTCGGTCAGAAGCGAAAAGCAGTCTCGTGACTTGAGCGTTTATATTTATGGATGAGTGTGTCCTACTTCCGGTTTCACTAGACGGAATAGTAAATTGTGTAGTGTTCCTCTTGTGACACATTCACCAAGCGTCCAGGATGAGGTAGACGCAGTGAAAGCTCACTGGAATGGATGGCGTGCTGTGGACTGGGATCATCATTGGTGTGGAGGCGGAGAGTCGGGGCCCTCTTTTAATGTATGACACCATCCACCGGCTGAGAATTTTAGCGCTATACTTTAGTGCCAGAATTCCGCGGGCGTCTACAGATTTTTCTCTTTTTTTTCACGTGGAATTCTGGTCATGACTACACAGTGTTCCATGCACACTAACGCAATATAAGTGTTACATAGTATCATTTTGCTTAATGGTATCCTTGATCGGGTTAGTCAACAAGCTGACCGGTAGTGCGGAAGAAGGTATACCTGTCGCCCATTAATGGAAAACACTTGATTTTTATGTACCAATATCGCGTGAACGCCCCTTGTGTTCCACTGTCGGTAAGAGAGAACCTGGAAGGCTAGAAGTGCGAAATGGCTGGACGAATTGTAGAGGTTCTGCGATACTAACAATGGTGGAGGAGGATCATCGCTACTGTAGAATTTTGTTGCCACACCCTCAGTGTGACTAGACTGCCAGGGAAAGGATCCAAGAAGCCTGAATCGTCCGACTCCGACTTCTAATGTCATCATCAACAATTGTAGTTCCTCTCCTGCTGAAATCGCCACCACGACAAGCTGGATGAATGGTCAAGTTCATTACGAATTTTTTGAGTTCTAACAGTTTAGTGGGTATTTAAAAGCCTGCAAGCATATACTACTGCAAAATGAGTGGCATATGAATATCAGCACTGGCTGGCAAATTTGTATGTTGAGAAGTGCACGTCAAAAAATCCCAAACTGCACCTTACAGAAAGGAAAGATCACGCAAATTTAAATATTCTTTTGAGAATTATTTTGGCCAAAGTTTTCGCATTTGGTATGGGCCTGCTGAACGCATCAATCCATCGATGGCCTGGATTGCACATTTGATCTTTTCCCTTCCCCCCGTGTTCCGTCCCAAATCACATCTTTGATGTCTGTTGAATACCGAAAATGTGATTCGGGGTAGACTACCATAAAAATTCAGTGTAATCCGACCCCAAAGCTACAGGAGCCACTGAGAAATGCTTCAAGCATTTTACCTCTGGTGATGAATCACCTGATGATGATGCATCGCAATCCAGTGGGGAATTTTTAGTCTTCAAAACAACGCCAAAGTACAAGGAGTTATTGAAGATTAGCCTGCCAAACTGTGAATGGTGTGGAATCCGCTGACATCTCCATAGACTTATGCAGTTTTTTGTTAATCAGCAGACTGAAATGTGATGAGAGGTAGCTTTCATATCGCGACACTCGTTAAAAGAACAAATGCATCATTAGCTGTCACCAAACCAATCACTCACCACTCATCTCTCACTTCAAAAGCACGCATCAAGACATCTCAAGAAGACTACTTTCTTCGTGTGCATGTGTGCACTACGCTTCAGGCGGAACGAGTTAAACAACTCAATAACTTACTGATGGCGAAAAAGACCTACTGAGTGCAACAAACCAAAGGGTGTTCTCGAAGATCTCCTACTTGAGAGGCAGGCAGGACTGATCAACCAGTCACTGGGGTCTCATACCTCATATGGCAGAACTTACTCGTGAGAAAGGGGGTAAGGGCGAGATACCGCTTCATTCTCCTCCTCTGTGCTCTCTTAATGATACCTTTTGCAACTTAAAATAATTACCACTGTATCTTGACTTGGTCTGTTGACAGTGTCGGTCCTAGGGGTAAGAGTGCGCTCCCAAAGACCGGGAAAATCAAAAATTACTCACGAGCTAAGTCGAAAATCCATTTTTTAAAATTAGAATGTAATATAGAAGCATTTTGAAGCCTACAAAGTATACCACTTTTCTTAATTTAAGTAGAACGCTAGCAGTCGTAATGGTTTGCCCATTTAAAAAGTAATTTTAAGACACCATCGGCTTTTATTGATATGGGAGAATAGTACTGATGTATAATGGGACCAGATTAAGTAGTATGACTCCGACCAGATAGGTATTTGCAAGCCTCGTACCTGCCATAACTGGCTCCATCTAATCGGCGTTGACATCCCTCGAAATGGAATATGAGCTCCTCTACATACCATGGTTAACACTGTCATCTGATGTTTCATCTTTTTTGTGGCTATATTTAAAAAGTTGCCTTTGGCGTTTGATAAGCCGTTACACGCCCCCAATCTACTGATAATTTTGTAAGTAGTATCTGCCCACCCTTGTTTTGAACATTAAAAAGTAATCAAAAAGTGAACCGACACCCAATCAGTGCACTGCTTAAAACCACTAATGAAAACGTAATTCAAACGTTGCTATTAATCCTCGTAGTCAATCACAGACAGTGAGAGTCAAACATGTCATTGTCAAGACGTGGGGCGTCATTGGACAGGGATGTGACAAATTGGGCAGTTCTGCACTCGACTAATCTCCGATTCGTATGCACTGTGTTTACAGGCAGGACACATCCAAAACTGATATTCTGTCACTGGTTGACCCGTCACCACACAAATTGGGACTTTCGTTTCACTGCAAAGTCAAGAAAGAAGGAAAAAAGGGCCTGTCAGAGAGGCATTTGCTCAGGATGCGTGTCTACCTACACCCACTCCGTGGTGCCTGTCGCCATCATGGCATTGCGGCGGGTCATGCGTCCTTGTATGATGCTGTGTATGCATAGAACTTTCTCCTCAACAAATGTTGGACTAGTCATGTCCATTTTTCCACAAAAGCAAACGCTGAATACAGCAAGTCTCACCTACTAACAGCTGACAGCCCATCACCGCGCCTGAACGGTGGGGAATGGGAACGAAGAAAGCAGGGAACGAAGCTGAGCGACTGCTTACTTATTCTGAGCTGGGAGAAACTATTACATGTCAATAATTCCTTTGAAAGGGTAAAGGCAAATTTTGGCATTGATACAATGTTTCCTAGACGAGAATAGTCCATTTAACGTGAATAACTTATGCTTCTTTGGTACCACCTCGAATGCTTCAGTCAACTATGAACAGCCGTCTCTTCTAGAGGAATGGCCATGCAACTGGCGACATGTTCAGACGAAATGAAAGGACAAGGCGGTGTGTGCATTGTTTACAGCTCAGTAATGTTAATCTGCACTGATCTAGGTCGGAGTTCCAACACCACGCCCCTTAGGGAAGGGGGCATTGTGAATTTTTGGAAGGAAACCTCGAATTTAGATTGCATGGATGTTTATTGACTTTTACGCTTAAAAGTGAGGAAGACGAGGCTCAATTCAGCCTTGTCGTTGGTACTTTTCTTATTACACAGCTGTTTCTTGTTTTTGTTTAAGCGTTGAAAACCCACTAATTTTTCACAGGTACAAATAATCTTCATAGAGAAAGAGAGTCATCTACTTGTCCGATTCCCTTTAAATGCTCGTCCACTGACAAAATGGACGCACACCAAGCCATGCTAGTGACACACATTTATTTCCAAATGACTACAGGAATGGGACTGAGACGAGTAGATAGATGGATGCGCGATGACGAAATAGATGGATGGACGGACGGATGGTTAGATGATGAAATGGATGGATGGATAATTGATAGATCAGAAGTGGATGGCTGCACAACAATCATCAGTACAATTTATCATTCTTTCCCAATAGGACACATTACCTGCCTCAGACACCCAAGTTGCCAGAACTTTTCATGGTACCGGAAGCCAACAACTACCTTTTCCTTTACAACTGTGTTGGTGATCTCGCGTAAAAGCCCCCGAGGCTCATTCATCAGGCAGTGCAAAACAAAATCCTCATCTAATCACAAATATTCTAAGAGGACAGGCTAAAAACCCCGCGTTTTCGCCAAATGAAAGTCCATTTTTGATGTGAAAGAACTCCAAATCTCCCACTAAACAGGCATTGACAATTACTCCTGACGGATTGCCCTCAAGTTGTTTAAGTCCATGCGGGTTCTTCACCAAACCGATGCATCAACCTCTAGTAGCTGAGCACAGGAACCAACTCTAGGTGGTGCGTTCAACAACAATAAGTTGGATGAGAAGGCTGTACTTCTCCTCTGGCACCGAATTACCCCTCGGATGGTGGGGGAGACAAGTTCAAATCACCTCAGATTCATCCGGATGCTCTGAATAGTCAAGCGTAGTGCACCAATAGACAGAATGACATCTATGCTTTGCAACTCAGTCAAAAGGACAAGTGAACACATTTGACAGGTACCCCCTGAGTAACTAGAAGTTACAAGAGCTTTTTAAATCACAGATCCGTCGGTGTATTTGAGCCATCAAATCTTGCACCTTTGTGTATATGGGATTAAGGAAGAATAAAAAAAGGAAAATTATAGGCGCACGGAGTGTTGACACCTCTTTTGGCATTGCTAATACCTACCATTGGCGGCGAGTGACATTGACAAGCGCATGTCAAAGCCTTCTTTTACCAAATAAATCAACAAACGAAGCAGCGCTGAGAACCGAGGATATAGAATCATTTTTTTTTAACCAAATGAAACCTTTTTCCTCACACACATTGACAGAGAGTATTAAAGGAGGCTGCTGTCAAAAATCTCTTCCAAGTAATCAAATTACCGCACCCTTTTTGAAGAAGACTTCATACTTTACTCAACCTGCTCTTCAAGAGGTACGCCTTTCCCCCGCCATCATTTTTAACTGAAATTACTTTGAGGTCTATTGACAATACACTAGGCAATTCCCACCTCTATCCGTTTGGCAGCCTCATCGAAGAACCTTCTCTCCCTCCCCTTTTAGCAAATTTAAACCTTTGCTAAGTGACAAGGAGAGCGTATACCCTCACAAGCATCTGCAACCGCCCCGGCGTTTTGAATGATGCTCCACATTTTTTACACAATCTTACACTCTTACACAAACTCCAATCCTTTGACGGATGCGTGGGAATTTGCCATCTTCCACATCACCGAGATCAGTCTGATTTAATGGAGGCGCATTTGGGAGTGGATCCTTATTGAAAGACGACGAAAAAGGCCCTAAGCATTGAGCGGTAACATAACAGGCAGGCTGCTGGCAAGTGTAGTTTGTGTACCTCGTTAAAACTAGACAAAATTCATCCACTTAAGGTGGTATTAATCGGTCAGACGAAGAGAAATGTAGGAACACTATGGGCAGATGGAAGCTAGCTGAACAGACAAATTCCCAAAATGGCAGATGAAAGAAGACCCTGCTATTGCCGTAGGTAGGCGTTTTGGCAGGCCTACGGAATGCGAATGTTGTAAATGCGGGTTTATACCTGCAACACTCGATGAGTCATGCGCCAGACATCCGACTGCCACCCCCGCCACCCACCCCACTTCTTACTGGGTGAGGTCAAAATGAGCTAACGACGATGCACGACGGTAGTGTGGGTACGCAAGACATTCTGCACCTCACCTCTCTAAGGTGTTATCATCTCGGTTCAAAAATTTCATCGTTCCTGACTTATCCTCCCTATAAAATGTCTCTTCGATCTATTGTAACAAATACAAACAAGTGATTCATAAGAATTACCCTTAAATATTCCTCTGGGAACAATGAAGTGATTGTTTGTGTCACACTCACAGGCTCGTCTATGGATGAATTGGAAAGTGAGGCAACAACCATTCTAGAGGGTGAGGAGGGGTAGGGGGAACGGAGAGCCCTCCACACATCCATAAGGCTATGGTTGGAGCAAGGAGGAATGAATAAAGAGCAGTTAAGTAGGTTGGAATGAGGAGCACACTGGATCTGGGCCATACGCAAATTGACACATAGAGGCACCCAAGCGAGTGATAACAGAGGAGACAGTTTCCAAACTCTCAGACACTTGATTTCAATGTTTTAAGCTATTACGATCATGAGGTGAAAGAGACACTCCTTTCTTATTTACTACAATACCCAGCAGTGGTCAAGAGCTATAAAAGAAGGCTTTTTAAAGCTGATTTTCAAAGCTACCATTCGCTCCACGTGTGCGAAATAAAGCAGCTTTCATGTGTAAACTTGTTGCTGTCAAATAAATCGACTAGTCAATAGTACAGCATTTTGCGTGCTTATCAACCAGTCGGACCTACACAGACCAAAGTTTTCGTTTTTAACTGTATTTCACAAAATTCACAAATGTACTATCAGTGTCACATGTATGTGACGTCCCGATTTTCGTTTCCACTTAGGCATCTGTGTTGTCACTTAGGAATTTAATAACGTTAGACGTTAGAATTAGAGAAGAGAATCAATCAACTCGGTTCGAATGGTCTTTTTTGTCAAACAATGACGACATCACTTAAGCCACCAAACTGACCGATAAAAATGTTGCCCAAAAGGTGAAAGGAAAAAAGGGATTATGGCCTCCAGAGCCAAGCGTCCTATACGTACTTCGGATTCAGCTAAATTATTTGAGACAAAATTTGGACCAATCAGTTGCCATAAATTGATAAAGAAGAAGTGTCACATATTTGTGACTCTGGCAATGAACTCTAGATGCTAGTCAGTGCTTCTCACTTCAGTGCTTTGATTGATCATGACAGAGGTTAAAAAGCGTAGATTGTGAAGGTATTATCAAGGCCATAGTTGCCATCATGTTGACCTACGTTGCTGGGCTTACATCAACTCTCCAACTGTGGCAGCCACAGGCTCATTATCGTCCTTGTTTTAGCCACCGTGACCTTTATTATGGTCACCTACCACTCCACTGGTGTCAGTGTTATGTACTTCTAGAATAGGGCGCAAACTCTTTCAGTGAGATTTTAAAAGCATCGCACATTAAAGTGGATTAGCTAATTGGCCCACGAGGTGAATGTTTACTTGGGAGGGGTGGGCTGGCCGAGACTGCGAAAGAGAGGAGTTAATTATGCGTGCAGTAGGAAAAGATGCGGAGCAGGGCTTTTAACAACAAGAAAAAAAAAACAAGGTGTGAACACTGAGCGAACTCCTGCGTAGGTTACAAGGATCTGCGGGTGATGCAGGTAGCTTAACAGTCGATAAGGGAAAAGAGGAATAAAATCAAGATGTGTGCTACATAAAATGTGTGGTTTATTGATGTATTTTTTGTTGTTAATGATTGACTGATCGAGTGACATGTAAATTTTTGCTTTTTAAGTCATTTTAATGCCACCATCGTTATGTAAACGAGCAGTCCATTAACTATCCCCAAATGATTCATCCACCACCAATGGGTCACTTCTAGGATATGCACAACGTCAACTCCGGTGGGCTACTGGGTAGTGGATGCGTGCGTATGCGTGTTGGACTGTGGACTAGCTCAGACTTCCCAAATCGGAATACCTCTTTCAGGAGAAACATCCTGGGCTAATGAGTCAGTTGGAAGAAAGTGCTATTCTGACAAAGCAGCGTGCCTCATTCAGCTGCCAAATTTATCCACGAGAAGGCTTTATTTCGGATATGAATATGGGAGGGGGGGGGGAGGAGGAAAGAGACGTGAAGAGGGAGATAATCCCTAATCTCCCCAAAGACTCTAAGTAATAAATACCACCTCTTCTCGACATTCCATGGATAAAGGAAGGTAAAAACGGCGGTGGCTAAAAGGAGGACTTTGTCTCGGCCTCTAGAGCCAATGTTGAACTCGCAACAACCTTGTCTCTGACTGGACCAGGATCACCGATTAAAATGACCGCCATTTTAAGGACACAAAAGAACAAAAAAGAAGACTAGTCTCTTTACAGCTACTCCTTTTCTGCATGCAAAAAAAGACCCGCATAAAAGTATTCCATTACCCTCTACTTCATGAGAATGTCCTTAGGAGGTTTGGGTAATGTAAAGAAGAAGTAATATTAGCATTCACACCCAAGGTATCCTGACTGTAATGCTCAAAATGGTCTAGGTTGGTGAGTCTTTTCTAAAATCAGGGGGCTAAAGCATTACTATTCGAGCATTCATGTAGAGAGGAAAAAATACTTTTTTTGAAAAAGAAAAACAAAAAGTGACCTCACCTTTCTAACACCACATCCAGTTCAATCGACGAGGCCGATTTTATCAAGTTCTTTGGGGGATACCTGAAAAGCATTAAAAAGTAATAATAATCGAATCCAAATTGGAATAAGTAGGCAATCAACTAACCTGGTAAAAATTTCAAATATTAAGTCGTCAAGTTTTTGACGCTCCAATGTTGACCATCCGGGAAGATTTTGCAATTTCATGAATGCTTTTGAGGCTGTCGCAAAAGCCCCCGACTTTACTGCACACAGAGCTGAAACATGGAAAAGTACTACTGATTGGCTTTATAAGTAGTAAGGGGGCCATGTTGCCATTGTTATTACAGTACTTCTACTCTCCAACTCGAATTTCCTCATAAAAACCTCGAAAAATTGGAAGCGATGCAAAAATGCCGAACGGTAGAGCACCACCCAGTTTTACAAAGGTTGTCCGATAGGCGGAACTATCAAACCCTGGGCGCTACGCTCCCTACAGTAGAAGTAGCAATAGGAAGGCCTACGCCTCTACCCTAATAAATTAGGGTAGCTTTAATTACGTCTCCAGGAGTAACCCAAGCCCAACGTCACCTTAATGAGGCTTTAAAACACCCCCACTATTTGTTTACACTAAATTTTCACACAACAATTGGGGGGTGAAAGTCGGGGGAAAACCTTAGATAAATTAAAAGTTAATTATACTTAAAAGACGTGGAAATATACCAGGGACCTAAGTCGGTTGAATCACCATCTATTATGCCAAAAGATGTTCTAATAAAACAGCGCAAAAAACACTGATTTGAACGCCTATAAGATGGAGACGCCAAAATCCAGACCTGTAGAGAGGCGCTAGTAAAATTTATCGCCTATCTCACCAATGATGCTGTGTATCTTCCTTGCATCAAAGATGTCGTCGTAGTCCCTCAGCAGAATGGCAGTCCTCAAAGCCTGCTCAAATAGACCGAAATAGAGGTGGTGTTGTGACAACATCAAATAATGGCAGGCTTCTGCTCCACGCCATGGTTGGTCAATAAGTCTGGTGATTTCATAGCTGTTGGAGAGCTGAAGGAGATCATTCTGTTTCCCATGTGCTACTGCTTCGGTATCTTCAGTCTCGCGTCTTCGTGACCTTTCAGTAAAAGTAGCTTGATCGCCGAATACGCCTAAATCAGATCGTGAAGTGTCGCCTTCCTCCCCTGTGAAGATTGACTCCTGCTGATTCGGATTCTATGGTAGAAAAAAATCGTACATTGCTCAACAATTTTTTTATGCACAAGATTCTACGCAATTGTTTCATGCCTCAATTGACAATTTGGACTGTTCGTGATGCTTATCAATGAGAAGTCCGATCATAACATAGAATTTCTTTAAGGTTTTCAACTTCGCGCCTCCACTCTGGGCTAACTTTGTTTCCTAAAGTGGAAAGGTCACCAAAGACTAATAAGTAATTACTCGAAAGAGGAGTTTTGCGGAGTCAAGAAAATATCCAGCTCCTTTAAGCATCTCTATAGCCTCAAATGGACGTGATTGCTCCAGCATTCGATTCACCGAGGCGCGGAGTTGGCCAATCAATCGACGTCTGAGTGATGTCTTCGTAAGGACATCATCTTCACTCGAATCACCATCGGAAGACGAAGAGGAAGAAGAAACTTGTGTCAGCTGGAAGGCTAGGCTCCAGTCGTTCAGTTGAATGCAAACCTCCACAGCTTCTTTCAATTGGTCACACTTGAAGTAAGAAATCACGCAAACAATTAGATCCCAATTAACTTAAATATGAAGCAAACATTTTTGGCACTAGTTTCTTACCTTTATCAAGGCTTTAGCCGCAGGTGCGGCCAAGGAGACCCAAGTGAATATTCGTGCGATTTCCGGTAGTAATGAATGACCATCAGGAAGCTCATGGATTAGGCTTTCCATGGTGCTATAATCCCCCATTCGAAAGAGACAGTGGACTAGTTTTTTGAAATCGCCTCCCTGCCTGTAGAATTCAGAAGCTTGGGGCCTAAAATAACAGATGATAAACAATAGTTTGGATAGAATTGGAAGTGCAGACTTCTGCGCTTTGCTACTCAAATTTTTCCAGTAGTACGTAATGGAGAATTGGTAATACAAAGCAAGCTCAAGATTCGAGTGCCTCATCTATGATAGAGTTAAAGAAATCGCCCCAAACCGATCAAATAAAGCCCCCAATAAGCTAACCGAATGTCACAATTGAATTTCACCAGGGGTAATCGTTTCGCTTCGGAAGTCTAATCCCGAAGATACGTATAGCGGACTAAAAAAATCGGTTTTTTTGCCTTCCAAACACTGGAAAAAATATTATGATTAGCTACAGTTGATTTACCATTGTGCCTTGTCATAGTAGTGATCTCCCAGGGCATTCCAGACATCAGTAAGCTCGCTGTCCCGCACCACCGCACCAAACTCTTTGGCCAGTTGAGCTACTCTGAACCAATCCCCTAGACGTCGACGCAAATCAATGGCCAAATCGCATCTGTCAGTGCTGAGGTACAAGCGTTCTGCTCCATCAAAATCACCAAAATGCGCTCGAACTTCGGCCTGTAGAAGGGAGGAACAACTCGATGTTGTGTGGCTCTTCAACCCTTCAGGACATAAGGTCAATGACCGCAAAAGTGACAACTCACCCTCCGCACCACTTCTGATTGAATGTTACGAAGCTTTTTGACAAAGTCGATGCCCTGGTAGTATTGGCACATTACAAAGCCCACTTCGGCTTCATTCAACTGCATTTCTTGCAATGCGGCTTCTGCATAGGATTGCCTGAAATGGCAGTAAGTAAGTAGCATGGGATCGTGAGTGAAGGCATTTCAGCTCGCAGCTGACATTAGGAAAGTTGAGGAGTGGTTTCTGATAAGACAAGCTAGGCCCTACCATAATTTTGGATGTGGATGTTCTTCCACATAGGCCTTCGCTTTGTCCAACTGCTTGTGCTCAAGCAAACCTCTGCATTCAGCAAGAGTCTAGGTCAATATAAGGAATGGGGATAATTCAAGATAAATTATGGCTGATTGAAAGCTTTCATTCCTTACTTTAAATAAGCATTTAAGATAGCATCGAAGGAGAATTTTAATAGAGGAATTCAAGCCTCTTCTGCACTCACTTTGCATGGAATACGAGTAACCAGATCCAATTTTGGATGCTCACATTGCTGTATAATATCGTCCAATTGAACACCAACAACTTCAAGATCAGCGAAACGGGCAATATAGACGCTTGAATGGATGGGAGGTTCTGCCTCAGTATCGCGAAACATGACCAACTTAGCCTTCTCCATGATGGCAAATGTGCTCGGATTGTCCTGATAACCATTAATACTAGCCAGTGTGAGAATTTATTTACAAAGCAAAAGAATGCATTGTTGGCATTGTATCAACAAATTCACCGAGAGCTTTTTACAAGCTCCACTGAGTGTAGCAAATGGCAATAAAAATCGCCGTTAATAATAATAAACCCCAACTACCAATTTGAGTAGTAACATACGGTTGAGAATTTTAAGTCCCAAACTTCTTTACGAGAGAATTCAGCAAATTTTGAGGAAAGTCGCTCCATTATAGGGGTGTCACCATCTTCACTCTCGGGAATGGGATGTAGTGAGAGTACTCCATGTTCGTCGATTAGACCGAAAACCCTGTTTGCAATAGACGTACTTGTTATTTAGCTTGAAGGCCCGTAGCTGAGGCAATTTTCGGGTTATACTTAGAACCCAATTAGACACATTTCACCATAAATCTCCAAGACAGAGGGACTACTGTTTCTCAAACATGAATGGCCGAAAAATAAACAAGGAAATTATAAAATCCCAGAACTTATGGTAAATTTCCACCTAAACTCCAACCCTTACTTGGAAAATACTCAAAACTCCTCGCTCTGTTTGAAATACAAGGTGTCTATTTGGAAAAAAATAGGTAAATAAGCTATTACTCACGTTGCGTCACAGTTCACTTCAATACGGACAGGCAGTTTGTCAGTTGCGTGAATACAAACTTCGGGCCAGAGCTCAGGCAGGCGGTACCGAATCACATTACCGTTGCTGCGAGCAATGAAAAGACTACGTGTCTCACTGGTAGAAAGGGCTACGATGGGATTTTCTGAGGGTTCGATGGCCAGTAGCTTTGCCATATTTGTGTCTGTGGCTGTGGACGATGACCCGTCCAGATTGAGAGGGGGTTGAGAGGCAAGGGAACCGTCTTTTTGATCGATGTGACACATTCTGAGAGGTAGAGATTTCAAAATAATGTTTGGCAATATGAAAAGCTTAAGCAGTGGGATTGAAAGAATTTGAAAATGATTTATGATGAGGTGTGATCCAAAATGTGATTTGCATCCTAATGTGGTCATTGCCCCGTATTTGCGCTAGCTTTGAGTCCCATTTACGGTATAGCCCAATGGTCGTGCTACATCAGGAATCTGTTGCTAAAGCGAAATGAAAGGGGCTCTTAAACTTCATATGCATGAATACGGAACTTAACAAACAATTCGACAGCCTCAAGACGAGCTCTGTGAACGGTAGATGCGAAGGGAAAGACAATGTTCTGCCTTCCGTTACAATATTCACTGACTCATCAAAAAAAAACGTTAACAGGCATGATTGCAATCAAAAATATCAAAGGTAAATAATAAGAGAACTAATGACAAGTATCTTACCGCTGAATGGCCTTCCTCATCTTATTCCGAGTCTTGACAGCAACACCGATTTCAAAGAGAGTTTTTGGATTTTTAAACTGCCACAAGAAGACGATTGATGCATTCGCAATCACCACATAATTCCCCGTCATTACTGAAAACTTGGGTTCTAGCTCGGTGGTCATGCAATCAGCAATGCACCCCAGGCTGTTGTACACCGTTATTTGATACTAAAATCAAGTAGATAATTTATTGAAACTAATTGCAAATTAGTAAAAACTGATTTACAACTGCAAAACTTACAGGTGTGCTGATTGATTCAATCTTGTGTGTGACAGCGCAGAAATCGCCATCGCCACAAATTCCCAGAAGATTGTCTACCGACCGAATATGTGTCTATTTTTTTGAAAACAAATAATGGGGAAAATCCTCCTTACTATGCCTCGCTTAACATCCCAAAACATCACACACCGGTCCATAGAGTCACTCCTAGTGAAAGTATAAACCAAGGTATGGGCATTGGCACATAACGTCCACTCGTATTTAAGTCGCACATTTGCAAAGTAGATGTAGGAGTCGATGGCCATTGCAAGGCGAAGGGAGCCACTACCCTCCCAGGTGCAAGCAGATGGTCCTTTGCCCGGTATTGTGAGGGAATGCAAATGCTTTAAGGAAATAGATCTAGGCTATGCAACAGCTTCTCAAGGCTACTCCTCTGCAGCTAACAACCTACATCACCAAAGGGGTTGTAAAACTGAACTACACCAATATTTTCCAGATTTTCCGGTTCAGAATCACAAGCGAATCTCTGCTGTCCACAAATTGCTAGAATTGAACCGCTCTCGTTCCATTCACAGCACGTTATACTAAGTCCGGTGTCAAGAAGAATAGGAGCTAGAAAAGAACTAGTGTTGAAAAAGAACACGACTTACTTAAATCCTGATCATTCCGCATTATTTGACACCGTCCTACGTCAAAGCAGACAGCCAGAGAAGGACTTTCTGGGTCACACAGTCCTTTGTCAAACCGATACCACGTAAAATCAACGAGTGATACGGCTCCATGAATGTCGTATAGGCAATAAATGGGCAATTTCCTCTACAAATTAAGCAACGCGTCAAAATAAGGCCTCAAAAATAATGAACAGCCACATTTTTAACCGGTAATATTACCAAAAAGATGCCGAGAGAATCGTAGACGTGAATTTCGCCAGACGAAAGACCAAACAAGAGAGAACGACCGTGAGGTGCCCAATCAGCGCAAACCAGTTCTGCGCACTTCAACTCCTTGCACCATATGCGGTTTCCATCGACGGATCCCACTATGACAACGCCATCTTCGTAGGCGATGCAAATACGCCGACCTTCCTTATCCCACTAAAGGAGGCAATTTATTCAGAGCTGTTAACTGATTCAGTACCTTTAAGCCACGAACGCGGGATTTGTTCCGATTGTTTATCATTTCCTCATACCACGAGCCTTTATAAAGCATCCATACGATAATGACTCCATGCTCGTCAGCTGTTGTCAGTTTCTCAAATTGCTCGTTCCAGGTTATCAACTGAATCGTACCTAACCAACTTAAATAAGCCAAAACCCACACAAACCAGAATGCCCCTCTAGTGTCTGATTCATTGATATACCATTTTGCAAAGCTGATCCCTTGTTTGCGTCAAACTTACTCGATTCGAATTTGAGAACCTTTAGCAAGCCATTCTCACCACCACATGCGAGGTAGCCATGATTAAGGCTCCATGCCAGTGTTGAAATTTTAGGATTGTTTGGGATAGCAATCTTAAATAAGAGTACACAGTTATGATTAATTAATATTAACCTTCTTGCTCAAATATGCAAACATTGTTGGGCAGACCTTCAAAAACCTAGAAAACTACTATTTTTACATTTCGATACATATAAACAAACCACTGGTTGCTAAATAGCTTAAATATTAGTAAGTTTTTCTTGCTGCAGCAACATCATCCCGCCATATTTTTATAACACCTAAGAGACGAAATGCGATGGTCCAAACAATCTATTTATTACTGATTAGCATAATGAACACCCGAAAATGAAGAGATATTTCTTAAGCAATATTTTGCCATCTAAACTCACCTTAGCTTTACAATTTATTCGAATGCTCTCATATTTGTCAAAATATCACCACGTATTGCTAAACTTTATCGGCTAGCTTAAACCGAACCAGGAGAATAGACACCTAACCTGTGTTCCGGTACCTTCCCGAGGCCAGAACTGTACCTCGGACCTTACGCAGACTGGCTCCTGAATACCAGTGCAATCCCGCACCCTCAGTAGTGTCGAGCAGACGATACGCCGCTCAACCCACTCTAATTTCCCACCCTCACACTGGAACAACAGAAACACCACGAGCGTCATTCAAACTGCATAAAACTCGTAAAAATCTGTGAATTTCCAGCATTTACGCAAAAGTTCGCGGGTAAAAAAAAATCAGGCCTCCCTTTTCGTCTTTTTCCCATTTCTAGACGGTTTCTTCGCTGGTTTTTCTCTTGAAGATTCCGCAGCCGAGGACGTTTTCGCGATCGTCTTCTATAAAAAGCAAAAAAATAATAACCTCAAGCTACAGATAAACGAACTAAAGAAGCCTACCTTGATAACTCACCACCCTAGCCAACTTTCGAATTTCTTCTTCCTCTTCCACACTACTCTCCTCGCTCTCTTCTTCAAGTGGTTGATCAGCCTCATCTCCCTCTTCCAGTGTGACTTCAGACGATGCCTCGCCTTGTTTCCGTCTTTTTTTTCTGCCTCCGCCGACTAGTTCCGTTGCATAGGGTACCTTATGTACCGACTTGTTGTAAGTCCGCGTTAATGCGGACTTCACCTGAAGGGGAGAAAGAGGAGCTAACCATGCAAGCCACATCGGTCTTTTGCGCTTCGACAAGGCCCTACTCGCGCCACTTGCGCTACTAGTCGTCCCAAGTACTGACTTAATTCCAGGCTCTTCTTTGGAAGCTACTGCAACGCTACACTGGTAGCAGCAGCATTTGGAACCCATGGGAAAAGAACCGTAATCTCAAATGAGCTAAGGAATCTTCCTGCTATAAGGCAAAACCACCTTCGATCCTCTTTGTTTTTGAATTGTGGGGAAGTGTGACGATGTAAGCAGAAGGTTTTCTCTTTAAGGAGTGCTGACGAAAACACCCAAAACGAGAAGGACAGCTGCATACTTGACTACGTGAGTCTTTTCAGTTACTTAAGTAGAAATGGCACCAACAAATAAATTAGGAAAAGAGGAGACAAAGAATGAGCAGACAGACCCACCTTGGCGTCGATGTTCTTCATGAGACCTGGACGACCCTGCCACGTGGTCAACTCAACCAAACTGTCCATATCCTCGCGCAACAGCTGGTAGGCGTCTAGGCACTCCAGCACGCTGTTGATATCACCTGGAGAAGGAGTATCGAAGGATGATAGAGGCCACCCCACTTAATCTACTTAGTGAGTGAGTCAAAAAGCAGGACCTAATTGTAGAAATACTCCATCACTGTAGGCGCTGTGAGGCAAGAACTAACGAAGCGTTTGACAAGATCATGAAAGTTGGTAGATGGTTTGGAAGAAGTTTCCTTCTACTACGGAAAGTGAGTCATGCCCCGAGTAGAAGGCTTGTGGGTTTCATATTTTCTGCTCGTCACCATACCTTCTTTCAGCGGTGCTGACAGTCGCACAGCCAATGGATGCAGGTAGTCCAAAAGCAGCGACCGCGAATCTGTCGCCCCGCCATGCGTCGAAAGTCGCATGTGCTGCGACAACTCTGCCAACAGTCGCGTGTTTTTCGTCTGCGTGGAGTTCCGACCGAACCACGCTGGAGAGGAGATCGCTCCAGGGCCTCCAGGCAACGATCCCCTCAGCAGGCGACCCGGTCGAAGGCTTGCAAACACAGCTTGTGTCGGTAGCAATGACCACCCGCCGGTTGATTGCACCACTCGACTAACGATATCACCCTGTGCAATATCTACTGCGGCTTCAGCAAGAAGATCCAGAGTTTGCTGAGGGTTCCCACTGAAGAAAAAGGGAGACTTGTAAACAAAACCCGCACTCAAATCAAAGTTTGTGGTATTTTTTTGCCCTCACTTCGCAGCCACTGGACGAACGTTGAGGTAGTTTTCCTGTACAAAGAGTGGACCGAGTGAGTAGTCCTGAAAAAAGAGGTCCATTGCCTCGGTGAAGGAGACGGGTTTGCCATCAATGTTGGTTGCGAAGACCTTACGAATGACTTCGAAAGGACCCAATCGGAGGTTTTTGTAAGCTGCAGCGGCGTTGGCAGTGATATCAGCCTCGGCAACGTCGGTTTTGTGATGGTCACCATTCATGCACCACATTTGAACTGAGTTTATAACCTAGGGAGAGAATAGAAGGTGTGGAGAAAAGATTTATTGCTGATAATGTGTTAGTGAGGGACTGAAACAGTTTTAGGGTTAAGAGTGAAGGCTGAACGGAACCAAAAATTTGAACACGGAGAGTGCGCCAAAAGTTCTCACACTATGGCATATTCAGCAGAAAGAGTGATGAGTTGTCACCCTTTGAGAGGGAGCAACAGAGTTCTGCTATACCTTGAATACTGCGGGAATGTGGCACCTAAATCAACCACCGTCAGCACATATGTCCGGCTATGAATGTAAAGTTCTTCCTTGTGGATTCGTCGTCCATGAGCAGACAAGGATGGACTAGTGTGACAAGTGTAGACCACTCTCCGAACGTCCCAACTGGCCACAATCATGATTGCAGGGCATGGAGGAGGAACCCCAAAAGTGATTCACTGGAAGTGAACTACAAGTCTTCAATCTGCTTAGTTTTATACCAGGTAGACTAAACAATCGAAAATGAAGCATGTTTTAAGCCTGAAAACGAAAGAACATGCTACTTAAACGGGTTGACCGGGATTTAAGTAGATAACCAGTGTGTGCTCAGTAGCGGAAATAGGGTCTAATCCCTCTCCTCCATAGAGTGGAGGGAATATTCCAAAAGTAATCCCGGAAAGGGAAGTAGAGCTGGTACTCAATAACCAACAAACCAAACAAAAGGAAGAAGGAAATGAGTGAGTGAGTCCCCAGCCTACCTGCCGTAAATCATGATTACTTGCGCTGATGATCTCGTTGAGAGCCGCCGAACTGACGTTAACACCCTCACGACAGGCCATGGAGAGCACGGCAGCTTTGATTTGTTCTACGCGTGGACGATGAAAGCGGAGGTCCAGACAGTAGTTAGCCAAGGAACGAATCTGAGATTGAGACCAGAGACTCAAATCAATTAACCCAACAAGACTGGACTCAGGTAGTGAACCCTTTTCAATGGGCCACTGAGAACGGTGAAGGTATTCAACAGGAATTGGCAAGAGTTGATTTCTTTAAGTCATTTTAGGAAAGCTGATGGAAAATTCTTAGAAATTGACTGATGCTACATTTAATTCAGAAAAAAAGAAAACATTTCTACACCCCCAATTGTTTGTTCTACGACAGATGAATCATAGACTGATTAATTGCGGCTGTAGGCGTTGGCTTCTCGGATCAAAGTGCGTGACTGAAAAGTGTAGGAGACTCGTGACGGATTAATGCCACTTTGGATATTTAACCGACTACAGCCACAACCACGAGTGTTAAATTAAAGTTCGCAGAACAGCCAGAAGGAACTCACCTTAGGCGATTGTCGATCATTACAGAGGCAGATGACAGGCACCTTGGAGGTCTTGATGACTCCAATTAGCTCCAGCATTCCGCCTCGATCTTCGTTGCCCGCCATTCCGTCCACCTCGTCCATGATCAGGACGTGAGAAGTTAGTGCCAAGGTTTTTGCTGCAGAAAAGGTGAGCAAACAGTCGTTCAACGCCTATTAAAAGAGACTTCACTGAGGCGGCAAGCAACACACACACGAACCACTTGAGAGGTCAAAAGATCCAGAGAGGGAGCGCATGTCCAGGGCCTGAACAACCTCTTCCTGTAGAGAGCGTTTTGATCGCGTGTCGGAGGCGTTCATCTCAATGGTAGCGAGATTTAACTCCGCGCACACCACTGAGGCAGTTGATGTTTTGCCCACCCCTGGAGGACCCGAAAGCAGCGCTGCACGTGCCCAAGCGCCCGTGTCGCTCGATCCACCAACTGCCCACGGCGGTGCCGACGAGTAGGATTTTGCTTTCCGACCTAGCATGGAGAGGAAAGGGAAATGGTGAAAGGTCCAGCTATGATTAAGCTACTTATGTAACATTGGTTTTCGATGATTTTTCCCCTCCATAATGATTCCCTAGTGTCAAGGCAGGGGAAGAGAAAGATATTGGGAATAATCTGAGTGGATTCGCACTTTAGCTTGAATTTTGGCTTTGAGTTTAACTTAAAAGTGCAGTTCCACAACCCACCAGTCGCATAGTCCTCCTGCCAACTGGACAACCACGCGTAGAGACGATTGGCCGGACTAGCAGCCCCATTCTGTCCCACCAACTCTTTCCTGGTCCTCGGTCTATACTTCTCCACCCACAATTCCTGAACCAGCGGCACTGTTACCGCTGTCTTCGTTAGTGATGGAGATGGAATCATAGGTCGATCTGTCAGCAGAACCAGTTGATTATCTTCATCCTTCACTTTCTTCCCCTTCTGAGGAGGAGTCAGCAGCCGCCCCGAAATGGTGCTGGATGGTGTGAGACTGAGAGCAATATCACAGTTGTCATCACCCTCTTCTCCAGCGTCAACCTTGCCGAAACCACGATCGACGAGATCAAAAAAGGCCTCCTCAGTGAGTTGCGGAGTGCCCAGACTGACGGCCTTGTTCAACTTGCTGGCACCAGAGTCTCGACCCACCACCAGATAGGAGGTGCGTTTGCTCACTGCCTGGGTCACCCGACCGCCACCGCGTTGAATTAGGCGCTCTGCCTCCTCTCGCTCAATGCATTCCAACACGCCGGTAATCACAAACGTCTTATTCGCGAAGCAGGTCGAGGTGTTCTATGGAAGGAGGGAGATGTTATGATTCACTTTTAAACTTCGAAGGATCATAAAGAACTGTTTCGAGGTTAACAAAACTAGCGCCAGGTATTTTGGTGTTTTAATTTTACTCAGACCAAATGAGTTCTTCAGTCTCCGTGGATTTCGAACAGTAGCTTGGTAGCATGACATCCTGTTCATGTCATCACCGTAAACTGTCCACCAGTCTTTCTATATCCAGATCAACGTCAAATAACGGCCTTCAGGGAGGGCTTTGAGCACTACTTTGGTGACTATGATAACCAAACCCTATTGAGATGCAACAACCTTAATTTCGTGGAGTGAATATCACACTCCAACGAGGGAGAAGAGGGCGTTTTCCGTAGATGGCTGAATCTGTGAAGACGCACGAGATAGAGGTTGTTAAGACCACGTCCACTGCTAGCAATAGCTCTAATCTCGTGTTATGCAACAAAATGATTAACACTTCAGACGACACCCGACTTGAGCTACTTGCAAACGAAGGAAGCATGTGAATAAGAAAAAAAACACCTCCGAAAGCTCCAATGGCTTAGTTGAATCCAGACAGTCGGATGGTTGGAAATGGAATAAAAAAACAAGGTGGCAGTGAGGAACGGATGTGTAATGCTAGACTCAGTGAAATGACCTTAAACTATGCATTGTATTAAATGGAATGGTTTTGCATAACGAGTCCTACAAATAGCGCTTGACACATGAAGCACACCTACTGCGGAGCATCAATCCGCCTTGAACAGTAGCCAATTTGGTGGAAGTTCAAAAAAACCTCAAAAATTACCCACTCCAAACCAATAGATTCTCTAGGAGATAATGAAGGAACCCAAATATCGTGTTTGGTTGCGCCATACCTTTATCTATCGCCGGAAAAGAATAGACTCTCCGTGGAATTGAAAAAAAGAAGCATCTTCAGTCGTCACCGTCAAGATTTAACCAAGAAGCGGTGGGAAATCAGGGAATAAAAAAGAATGCGCCTTTTATAACGTCTCACCTTTGGTATAAGTCTAGAGCCAAGAGCCTGGGGCCCTTCACGATTCTGCAACTTCCAAAAATAGGGCCTTCCACCACTCGACCCTTGTTTGGGTGTTATCGTCGATGGTGATTTCTCCGTTTCCGGAGTCGCGGCTGAAGGTACTAACTTCTTCTTCGGAGTAGTGGTTCTCGACGATGTCTGCAAAGTAATATGAGACCGTATCGCATTAGTCTTCGCTACCATCGTCACATATGAGTGACGCTCCAGATTCTCCACCGGAAACGGGACTTCGCGAACATATGCAAGACATTGACTTAAAAGACCATGTGGTAAATTTAAAGAGAAAAAAGAAAGGATTATAACAACTGGGGCTATACAGGAACAAAATATATCGGAACAGAGGAGATCACTTTTTTTCCCAAACCCTAGTGACTCACGGCTTTCCCAAGTCTATCTGCTTTACAAACCTACTGTCCAGCATTAACAGGGTGTTTGATAGCGGAAGATGCCGTCCAGATATACTATTAATAAGTCGATTCTAGCAATGAATCAGTCGATGCTAGATGCACCACGTTTGAGAAGATCCTCTACAAGAACAGCCATAACCCGAAAGCCTATGTAACTACATTTCGGTTTTCTCAAATCCACCGAACTGTAAACAATGCGCGCAAACTGTCAAGACAGCAATGGTGGAGCGCTGCTGGCACCAAACTTGTAGCAAAAAGGGTTCGAGTGATGTTGATGAAGCCTGCTAACCACCAGTTTCGGATTTCGACGACATAAACAAACAGGTTGCAAAAACATCAGGTAGTCCGCCATCTCAAAAAGTGCCGCCATGATAACATTCGCGAAAGACGCTAGAACTTCCAACACTGCAGCTATGTTATGCAAACGAATATCAAGCGTTAGACACAGAAAAGGTGGCTCAAAAACACCTAGAAAAAGTTCCAAATAGAAGCCATTTTGTTAACCTTTATCGGCGGCGTTTCCGGCACAGTTTTCGCGGCAGAATTTTCGTCCACTTTGTGCACGAACCCCCTCCTTTTCTTATGTGTATCTTTCGATCTCTGAAAATGAAATAAAACGATGGAGAGTTGTGTCACTACCACAACAGTTTCACAAAACCCGTTTTCTTGTGAAAAGAACTAGTGAAAGTCACTACAGAGAAGGCGATAGAGTATTCAGAGGTATTTGAGAGAGCATCGAGGACCTTAACAACACCACGACTTTTGGAATGAAAGAATATTATTATATTACCTGCCATTCGTTTCAGAAAACAACGCTTTTGGCGAGAAAGAGTTAAAAATTCCTCTAGACTTCCAAAGAAGGGAGATAAAGCAATAAGTTACATAGTTTTGGGGAAAATAACTTAAAATTACCCAGAGGTAATTTAAACGGCGTCCACCTCTGCTTAAATTGAGGTCCATAGTCAGCATTACCAGGAGATGCTTTCACATGTCTACTTGTAAGTATGTTTTGCAACGGAACAAGAGCCTCATGATTCTAGCAACAGGATAATGACAGTAAGCTAGTTCGATATTAACTGAATTTCCCAATTTCCTAATATGAACAGTAAAAAGGTGGTATAAGACATAGGGTTTTCAGATCCGGAGATGCCATATTTTAACAAGCCTGCGTTCGATCAGTACTAGTGAAAGCAATCTTAGAAACTTAATCTACTCAAAAGACTTGTTCAAGGAAGTTATAACTATGCATTAGCTGAATCCAATCCCCGTACTTAAAACCATCGATCTATTCCAGAAAGGAGGCCTTATGAGCCCCTACCCAAATGCATCAAGACCTTCGAGCTAACCTTTTCGGGTGGCGTCTTTGAGACATCTTTGGAGGCGTAACTATCACCCACTGGGCTTGTGGATGGTCTCTCTTCCTTCCGTACGTCATGGGATACCTAAAAGGTTGAGTAAAAGGTTAGAATTTGTATTAATACCTCAACTTTCTTTACAGACTCACTTGCCAAATACTCATCATTGAAGAACCAAAAATACGGGTAGTACAAGAAATAGGCAATGTAGTTTACAAGGAAAAGCTGAGCAGCGCGTTTACGAAGATCCACAAGCAGTGGTAATAAGTCATTCAAAAATGTCAGTTTAACAGGGTTTGTATCCAGATTCAATGCTGTCGTCCACAGAACTGCGGCGTAGCTCTTGGAAACCAATGTTTATCACTAAACTCAGAGCGCAGGTTTAACGAATGAACCATAGCACTCCCTTTAGCGACTGCAGCTAACCCACCTGCGCAGTTTTTAGCACGTCTTTCGAGACAGGGCTGTCCTTCACCTTGCTCACAGAGTGCCTCTTTTCCCTGCGCAGAAGCGCAGGTGATGGCATCAGTGGTTTTCCAACCATAGAAGCGGAAAGACAGATTTCATCATCGTCCGTTTTTCTGCCACTCTGAGGTGTTGTCGGAGTCTCGGGAACCAAAGCAACAGGCTCTTTTCGCTGTGGTGGTGTCTAAAGCAAACGAGAAACATCCTGAGTTTACATTCACTTGGTAACATTTCAAGTCTACAGTACAACGTACCTTGTGAGACAATGATGCAAAGAAATCATCCACTGAGATCGCCCTCTTGCTCTCCTTTTTTGGCTGATCAGTAACTTTTGGAACTGAAAAGAAATCATGAAGAGTTTTGGGAGATTTGGATGGCCCTCTAGCCTTCTTTTTCATTTCCGCCTTCCTCAAACTCTCTTCGAAGGTCAATTGCACCTTGCCCCTTGGACCCTCTGCCTCTGTATCACCAAGGTCCAACGCAAAAATTGATTTTCGACGCTTTGGAGAGCGTCGATGAGCATGCTGGTACGGATCCTCACCAGCTTCACCCTCTTCAAATGTAGGGATCTTACGTTTCGATGTCTGAGAAGTGCGTTTTTTGGGGATGACTTCTAGATCCATTTCTACAAGCGACTAGATCGAACGTAGGAAAAATAAGTTACCTTTGTTAGTAAAACTGGGATTAGCAATAGTGTGCGATCTTTTATGCTTCCGCTTCAATTTTGGCGACTGGAATTCACTTTCTGAAAGCAGATAAAGTGTGTGCGCAAACAGTATCCACAAAAGAGTACAAATTAAATCAGTTAGGGAATGAAAGGCATAAAAACACCTCAAGTAATCATTGTCAGGCCATTGTAACGACTAAAACTTTATAAAAGGGGCCACCAAAATAGCAACATGCGGGTTGCATACGAGTTTCCAGGGAAAAAAAAACCTGAAATCGCCCTTGTAAGACTAGACAAAATAATAAAGAAGTTAAATTTCGGGCATTGAAATGAATTAACTACGCACCTGAACTCGAGTCATCGCAAATTATCCCTCTCTTCGAGTCAGGCATTGGTAGTTCATTTAACGCTAAACGAGCGGAAAATCTATGGAAACCGAATGGGTTGCTGACTTTTGAAGGTGACATTTTGGCCCCATTTGGTAAATGCAAAGAAAAAACTATATAGCAAGAATGCAACAAAGGATAGTTTGTGTTCATAAGTTACATAGCAAGAAGGTGCGTAGTTTCATTACGCTTGCAAAATATACTCTAAAAGGAGAAGTCGTACAACCTTCTTTAACAATAAAATACTATCAGCTATGTGTAAAATTTCGATTTCTTCTAAATCCGCTGTATAATGAAAGACACAAAATATGGTCACCCATACTTGCAAAAGCGGAGATGATTAATATGATAATAAAAGCATGGATACCTGAAATCAATAAGGAGATATTAATGCATAATTTCGCAATAAACTTCTTTGTTTTATTGTGCCAAACCATATTATGCGATTCTTAGAGTTTCACCGGTAGCACATTGAGTATTAAATAAGGATATAAAGGTCACATTACCAGTGGACGAAATATGCTAACGAAACATACAAGTGCTGGGTTGCTACTGGCACAGACCAGATAATACGCCGTCCAGCGGAAGTAAACAGGTTGATCCTTAAGTGCCTTTAAAATCAAGAGCAGGAGTTGGACAAATTGTTTAATATTTACATTACCCATTGCAGCCGATTAGGTTTTAACCCAATTTACCTATTCTTGTAAGATCCCCGCCACATTCAACTATGTACATCGCCCAAAACTGAATTTCGATGGCCAGAAAATACTTAGTTGTGACTGTATTCATGAGTGCTTTATAATATTACGCCTACATGGGCTGCAAGTTTAGGGCCTAGCCTTAACTGGGGTTCCGGGATTTCCTGAAATCTACTATATGCAATAGCATGCTGAGGATATGCATTCCATTAACAAACTAAAGGTTTGCGACTATTCGGAGGTGCCTCTTAGACTGCCTAACTGCAACAAATAAAAAGGCAAAAATCCGAAGAAATAACAGTGACAAAATAAGTTATGTCGGAATACCATTAACTTCCTCTTGCATCTCCAGCTTCGCAACTACAGATGAATAGAGTTTATAGAGGAGAATGACATGCACTGTAGTAATTATAAATCTAAGGAAAACATTATACACGGAACAAATCGTGTATAGGTGAATTAATGTTTCTTTTTTCCCCGAGGATACATGGCATCTACCTGGCTATGTGGATGGTGAAATTTACCTCCTGAAATGTATATAATGCGTCATTTAAATTAAACACCTAGTTCTGGTTATGAACCTTTTAAGGGCTTCGCCACTGTACCTTCACCGAACGGCCTGGCCACAACCCCAATCCCCACTGCACATCGACAAAACATAGTCTGCCAGAGTATTTTGTCTCTTATCATTTGCAAAGACGTCTCGGCGCATGGGAATCTTGTATTGTTGCACGATGGTGGTTTATCCCTTGGTATTAGTGAGGCGACTTTTGAACTTTTGTATTTGCCTTCTTGTACCTCACTGGGCCTGCTGGCCTTCGAGCCATGGCAGAAGCCCGAACACCATTTCTGTGCTGAATATATATTCTTCTAGGGTATGGTGTCTTCTTAAGTCTTCAAAAAAGTCCCGAGGTGCCACATGTAGTAAATAATGGTTGGTTTAGCAAAACTTGAGCTATTTTAATTTAAGTTAGCAGAATGGTGATTTTTGAAAGCGTTGTTTTATCGTCTCAACGTTATGATTAAGGACAATTTCGCCTGAATTTTTTAGCAATTATGATTAAACCTATCACACCTTTTTGCCATTCTTTATAAAATAAAATGACAGTTGGAAAATCAGTAAGAATTTACTGCGTCCGGCTGCAAATAGTGAGAAAATTGATTCCTTACACAACACACCAAAAGCCGTTTTAAATAATTGGCAGGCAATGTTTCAAGGAATCTTCTGCGGTCTGTAACAAAGTAAAACTTCAGAAGCTCTTCAATGGTGATTGTGGATTCTATTTCATCCGATATTTTTCCCATTTCAGTGTTTCTAAGTTGTTCACTGGCATTAAAGTTTATTAGCTGTTAGTATAAAGTTGTCATGCATGCAATTTTATATTGTGCAAGTCTGGCAAAAAGCACCTTTGAAATATTTTAAATCTGATCTACTTAAATATTTCACCACCCTAATTGCTAATTAGACGTTAATTTGCGCTTACATTTTTTACGAGAGTGTATGCAGTAAATACAACAAAGTTTCATAAAATTAATTCGCTTTTGGCTTGATTTATACCTACCCATTGATTGATTTGAACTGTTTGTTGCCGGGGTAGCTTGCTTTGTCTTCATTGGCGGTTTGTGTGTCTGACAGTGCCGCTGGCGTTGCTCCTACCGTCTTGTGCTATAGCCGCTTACAAAATCATTGTCAGTTAATCACTGTATGGATTCCTTCTTAAAAAGTTGTATTTTGATGTCCTCTTGAGTCAATGTCCACAAACACGTCTAACTTGAATGGGAGTCTTGTCGGCTACACTGAAATGTCAGAGTCAACAGCTGTTCAGCGACGACTTTCGACAGGCACGAATGCTCATTTACCTGCTGCTTCTTCCGCTACTTTCCTTTATGGTAACATTGGAACCTCTACTCCTGCACCCGCTCCTCCAGTTCGTTCCTCGAGTACCCTGTGAGTTCTGCTTGTCTGTATTATTTCCCGAAATCACGGTTACCTTTTAACAAAATCACAGTTCAGTCACGTCTTTTTTGATAATTGTTGGTATTCTTTTTTACTAATACGGATTCCGTCAATATTCAAACGAACTGTCTTTCCGGAAAACTCAATTTGCTGGGTGTTGATGTTCTTTTAAGCCTTGTTAGTGGTAAGTGATAAATTAAACTGGATTTTTGTAGATGGTGTTAGTTCATTTTTTTTACCCAAAAATTTTCCGTGGAAAACGCTGTCTGACTTGATTTGGAATGATGGGAAGAATTCGAAAACTTGTGACTTGTGGTAATCTAATAAGTAATGTGGGTTTTTCTGGCGTCACGCGGGTGGTGCCTATTTAGTACTTTTCTTTTTGCTTTGTGCCATTCTAAGAAGTCTTGCTAGGTTTTTTTTTCAATTTGGTTAGCATTTCCTTATGGCACTATCAATGCCTATCGCAAGGCAATCTCACAATTCTGCTCCTCGAGTGCCCATAACTCCTGTCTATTTAGCCTTGGTATCCGTCGTAGTAGTAACTGGTGCTGCCGCCACTGAGTGACTTGCATTAACTCTGTGTCTACTGTGTTGTTTATCCAATATTTTCTTTTTCTCATCTCTCCTTCTAGGAAGAAGGAACGGCCGTTGATCTCACCACCCTCTAAGCCTCTACCCACTCCCCCTCAAAAGAAGGAGAAGAAACACAAAGGCAAGCCTATTTACCCCCTCCTTACATCAACGCTTAGCTGAGGCTTTTTAAAAAGCCAACTCTCAAGCTATTTTGGGGCGCTTGTGCTTCTTAGTCGGCTTACGCCTCTTTTTCTTGGTATCGCAAGCTGAGTTTATTTTTCTACTTCGCTTGCCTTGAGCTTGACGGAGAGAAAGGTGTTCTTTCCAATTTCGTTCAACAGACAAACATTTTGATCCATTTTAACTCTATTTCGACTGCAAAGTTTTCAAAGCGATGAATCAGCCTTCCTTTAGAAAAATCGTGAACAGATTTTTTGGGAAAAGTGAAAAGATAATGGGTATTTACACCAGTCGATTCATTTTACTCGATTTACTTCAATTATATCCCACTTTTCAATAAGCGGTGTTCGGAGCCTAGCACAGACTATTTGGATTGTGGAGTTTCTGGTACGATGAACCAACTTTTCTCCTAACTTAGATCTATTCTCACTTCAGAAGTGGATTTCTTTAATTTGTCCATTGCCAAACTTGGAGGAAACTCGGTCACAACAGCTTATAATTTCTCATATCCTACCGGTTGTCGTCAAGCTTTTTCGACGTTTGTAGCTGAAACGTGTTTTTTCTCAAGCCCAGAACATTTCGCATCTATTCTATCGTTTCTAGGAGGCAGTGTATTTGGATTGTGATATGCTTTGACTGATTATCGTGAGCTGAAAGGAGCATGTCACATACTCGCAATACGCGATCTCAGGTTTGAAAATCGAGGCATTACGAATATGTGAAGCTAGCGTGAACAGTACGTATGAAGAATTTACGATTCTACCTACTGACTTAAAGTAATGTAAATGAAGTGTCTTCCCCCACCCGCAATCTGTATAGTACGCAGCGCAACTGCCCACCCTTTCTACTCCAGGTCATTGAAAGGCAGAATGTCCGACCTTGACCCCGACCTGGTAGTAGTTCTCGGTCTTCGTCTTCTGCATCAGCCTAACTACGTAGCGGTCGCGTGCACATTACCCAGGACTCTGTTGTGTGCTGGTTTACATCTCTGTGCGTGTGTTTGTGCCAACGCGCGTGTGCTTGAGTGTGCGCAGCCACAAAATGCATAAACAAACAGCGAGCTGTGTGTGTGAGTGGTGTCCTGGTGTTTGCCTTACTCGTCTGACCACACTAGAAATTTCCTTCCTTGCCTTTCCTTCCCTTTCTTCGACTTGCTCTCCTATTTCCCGTCCTACTGTCGCTTTTGATGACGTGAACACTTGTTCCAGTCGCTCCTTGGGGTGCCCTCTGTTGTCGATTGTAGTAAACTTCTTACCGATAAGTTGCTTGTGGGTTCCTCTGTTTGGTTTAATACTCACCTTAGATCTCAGACATGCTGAACTTTAGGAGTCGTTTATGATGGCTTTAGGGGGCATACGGGAAATGTTTTAACTAGAATGGCTCCAACCAACCGACCTTTGAATCGGTTCATTGTTAAATTTGTAGGGTTAGAGATTACAAAATTAAAACCGTTTAGAAGTGTCGTGGATATAAAATTGTTTTGTAGGTTTTTATTTGTGATGAAGGATATGCGAGAGTTTTCGGTGCTAGTTTGTATCCTTTGTCTCATAGGCCAAATTTTGGACTTACCGCTGTTGCCAGCCCATTTATTTTTTTGTTGACTGTAATGAGACGTGGCGTAGAAAAGTTGATATTGGCCCTCTCCAATCGACGTTGGTAAGTTTTAGTGCCATCTTTGGCCGTGAAATGTGGTGAATTTCGGGTAGAAACAATTGTTTCATCCAGTGATTAGGATGGTTTCGTAGTCAGTGCCTGAATTAATCACTTCTTTAAGGTGGTACTTACTGGTTAATGCTATTTTAGAGATGTCTATTCACTCTATGTGGTCCTGTGGAATTCGGCACTGCAGTCGCTTTTATTTATAAGAGTAGAAAAGAGAATAGGCATTTAGGGTTACAAAGAAAACTTAACTAACCACTACCATATGTCTTCATTCTTTTCAATGCTGAATTCTCCTTACCGGAAAGACGTCTTGGGCTTGCCTTATAGGTCCAATGCAGCTGTCTGTACCTGCGATGTTAATTAGTTACCAGCTTTGTTGAAAACATACTACCACAGTGATGTTGCTTTTCCCTTCGTTCATTATTGGACACTGAATTCTCCTGACAACAAGTTTTGAACCTTTTCCACAAGTCCTCATGCAGCCGTTCCCTATTTGTGGTTCAGTCGATTGTGTGCTCACTTGAGAATTTGCTATCATTAATGATGCTCATCCGTCTTACATTTGTAGTCCAATGCTGGGTTTGACGCACGGCAAGGAAGCTCGAACCTACTTTGCGGGTTTACTTTAGCCCGTCGTTTGCTTAATTAAAAACTTGCTATTATTTGTGATGCTCTTTTGCAATGGAAGCATTTATCTGGTGTTTCTGATTCTTTTTTGCAGTAAAACTCTTCCGTCTTCCACTCTTCAACCGAAGCGGCTCCGCAGAACCGAGCATCTCGGGACCCACAGATGTGAAGCACGACCTCCACGTGGTCTTCGATCATACGATCGGCGATTTTCTGGTAAGTCAACCAATCACTCACCCAGACAAGCAAGCAGTATGTAACCTCACACACGCTTGCACCTAACCCGCAGCATGTGTAACAGCAGTAAAAACGGTGTTTCATCTGAGTGTGTGTGATTTTGCATTCACATGCTACCACGTCTCCCCCTTTCTCACCGTCATCACAGAGGGTTGCACCCTGCTCTTTTCTGGAGCTATGTCAGGAAAGCCACTCTTCTGGATGATCGGGATTTCTTAAAATAGACAAGACACCAGCAGAAGGGGAAATGACTCATCGAGCGTGTTGCAACACAAAAGTCGTATACTTTTACCTTTTTGCTATAAAACGAAGGGGCGTAGTAAAAGCTTCAACTTATTGCGGTAGGTAAGTGAGAAGGAAAACGTAATTGAGCCCAGATTTATAAACATCTTCAAGTTTATGGACGTAAATAGAACTATTTCTCTCTGTTGTCAAATTATCCCTCGTCATTCCTCGTAAATTCTTTGAAAGGCGATTTTTCTCCGTAGTAGGGCTTTTCTTTTTGCTTTTTATGGTAACATTCGGGACCTTTGAGGATGAAGAGAGCCGGGTTAACTCCTTGAGACTTCAAAGTTACGGCCGTAGTTGCCGAAAAATGCATCAAGAAGGCACTGAAGCAGAAAGAAGAATTGTTCCGTAGATTAGAGCTATTAGTTTGTTGCTTTGGCAGTCGCGGCAGGGTTCTTTGTGGGTAAAAAATTCGGAGACTATTCTTTGCAATGTAGGCACTGGATAGGAGAACAAAGCTGTATTTGTCCGTTGTAATTGTGGTTTATACTATGTGTCGGAAAACAGTAATTTACCACCGTTTAGTACCCATGTAGATGCGGAATCGTCCGTCAACAGGTAGCTTGTTGTTTGATAGTCGGTGATGACAACAAATGAAACCCGGGTCTGGTGACTTTTCGTACGGGTGAATCAATAGGTCTGAATTCGAATGTCACCCATTTGGCGGTATGCGCTGCATGCTTGATTCTTTTGGCAGAAGAAAGTGCTATACAAAGGGGTGGGTTCTGTCAACCAAAATCCAAACGTGCTTTTTTATTGAACCGTTTTCACCTAGTTTGAATTTCATCTAAAATAGCCCATTTCCGCCTCGGAACTGCTGTTAAGATCGTTTTGAATGGCTGGTCTGAATGTAAAATTGATTTGCTTATTGTCTGCAGATAATTCGAGGGTATAAGCAACATGAAGCATATCCTGCGATAGAGGACGAAAGTTTCGTCGATTGTCGGGAATAGTCTTGCTTGTCGTCTCTTGACAACATGCATGACATTCTCAAGTTTGTTTAGCCTACTCGAAATATCTCTGTTCCAAACAAAAAAGTGCTAAGGAAACTATGAACTATGAAACTATAAACAGCATCACTGGGACTCCTAGAACGTCGACCATGTCAGTTTTTTATATTTCTTGGTATTGTAACTGCGCGTGTTGGTAACCATTTTCACGAAGCTTTAGAAGCTCATATGTTGGACGGTATGCTCATAGATATTGTTGATGAGTAGTTCATGACTGTTCTGGCTGTCTTGTTAAAAATAGTAAGGTCTTTTGAGGAAGTCGCTCGATCTCGAGCTTGACAATTACCATAGTTGCTGAATGTAGACCACGACACCTCTCATTATGTCGTCGACGCTGTCAAAGGCCATAACAGACTAGGGGAAGATATTTGTATTGGGGCATCGTCTCTTATCGTGGGCACCGAAGTATCTGTGAACAATGTTTGGTGAGGATGCTCCCTAAAAATCACTGAAATTGTTACCGCTGGGACTGAGGAAAGAGAGGGAAGGAAAGTCGTGTTTTTTTTTATTACAAGTTATTCGCAATTCCCCGACAGTAATAGTTGATGGCAGACGCATGTGCTACTCCCACTAGAAAAGGAATGTGACGGGGTATGCACATCGGCCCAATTGGGTGGGGGGATTATGCAAGACGCCTCGCTGTTGCAAGTCGGCTTGACATTCGAATATAGTCCTGTTTGTTTGTTTGTCAGCTTGTTCGTTGGTCTGTTATTTGTCTATGCGTGTAATTACATGAGTTTCGCGGATTTACATGCACATGCACATTCACACATACGGGTTTGTTGAATGGAAGAGAAGGCATGGAAATTACAAAAGGAATGAAACAGGTCACATGCATACACACCCACACACAACAACCTCCGAAATTGTGTTTATTAACGCGGATGCTGTTGCGCATCTCTCTTGCTTTCTCATATGGTGAGTTCCGTAGTTGCGATTGTGGTCTGCCCACACAAACGCAACTAATTCACTAACGCCGGTGAATTTTCTCTCTCCAACTACTAGTTCCTCAGATGTGCGATAGTTACCTACCATTAACTATAAATCTGGTATCTGAATGTCCATATCTGCGATTTTTAGGAATTGATTCGTCTAGTTAACATGTTTGCTTAAAAGGACAACTACGGTTTCTGTTATTATCCAAATATTGTTTAAAAAAATGAAAAGATGTAATTAGAAGTTGCTAAGGGATATATGTCGCAAGTGCGTGACATGTGAGTTTCAGGTTAGAAAATCTGTGTCATGTACACGATGCTGACAGTGAACGTGTTAAAGACTTAGAAAACTTTCATGAAACCATTTCATGAGTATGTTTTAGTGAAAAATGAAAATTCTACTTTTGATCCTCCCTTCCTCACAGTAGTGCGTTAAATTCTCCTTCATGTAAAAATCTCCCAGTGGTAGCGTTTAGTTATCGTGTCTAAATACCGGACATAAATTGTGAGATTGATACAAAGATGGGATTTTGATTTGATTGCAGCTTTTTTGTGGACAGGGAATTGCTTAAAATTTTGGCATTGAATTGGATTGTCTCGTTTCAACTATGCCGTCGTCATTGATAAGAAGGCGAGCACGTGCTTTGTGAGGGCTCATGCCACGTAGTAAGTTTACAACTTGGTTGATTGGCGAAATGGCGAATCCCTTACAGACTGCCTTATGATGCTCTACTTTCTAAGTCGTTATCACTGTAACTTTGGCGCTTGATTGCTGGTTATCCGTTTTTGGCAAATTGGTGCGTCTTGGAAGTCTGGCACATATTTAGTCTTGATCTTACTGAGAACCACGACTTGTAGTCTTCTGTTTTCCCGTGATAATGACCACTGTATCTGTTAGATGCAGAGGCGTCATTGCCAAATAACCACTTGAATGTTGGCACCTGTAGTTTAAATTATGTGAAGCCTAGTTTGGCAGCACTAGAATGACACTTTGGTCTAACCAGATCTCTGAATTGTGCAAAACGAATCATGGTATTTTTTTCATGTTGAAAGTACTTTACTTTATCTCAAAAACCTGGTCCAACTTGGAGTTGGATTAACGAAAGTTAGAAGTGGACAGTTGGTTGGCCCTCTATGGGCATTTCAGGGATGGTTGGTCCGATGCAAGGCACCCATTACCGACACCGTATGTGCATAGCGGCACGCGCACCCTTCAAGAAAAGACAGGAGGAGGGGTGAGGAACGGTGCTTTCAACACTTGGCGCACAGCCAGAAGGAGAGGTAGAGTTGCATCATACTGTTAAAGCATACACATGCACAGACCAAATCGGCCAGTAATTGGTTGGCTCTACTGCACGCTGGCACACATACAGGTTGGTGTGTATGATGGGTGCTGGCACGGTCTACAGTAGTTGCTTTCGATAGCGGAATCGGTTCGGAAGGAGGAGAGGGAGGAGGAAAAGTTTCCTTTCTTTTCCTCAATCGCTCATATTGCTTAGTTCAGTCATTAAACGCCAGAATCAGAGGCCGGTCTGGCAGTGGTTTTTTCGAAAGCTAGTTTTTTGTAGGACAGATCTCATTGGTGGCTGTTGCAATCCATTTCTGTCTTGCCAAAGCACCTTTGAAAGCACACTTCTATCATCCTGGATAGAAAAACAGGGAATGCAAGGAACAGCTTGCAGACAGATATGAAATCCCTGATCTTGCTACCCTCTGTTTACAACATATTCTGGGTTTTCTTGATTTGTCCATAAAGCTAATTTATTATGTGCAGATTTTTTTCATTTGTTGATGTCTTCGGATGGGGTCACTGCCTTTTTTGAATGACTCGAAATGTGTGATGTGACGTGAGTCCAGATGACCTTTTAATGGGGACATCGAATATTTTCGTCAGTACACACAGGGTTTTTGATTAAAAGATGTTGTTTGGTCAAGATCCTCTTCCTTACCGTACCTTTAAACCTTTTTTTTATTTGAAACTTTTAAATTAATATTGAGGTGAAATATTTCAAAAATGACATTTTGGGAGATGAAGCTAATTTGTTAGCACGAAATAATTATTCACATGAAGATATAAGTTTCTTTCATATAGGAATGTAAGTATGTCCTATGCGTGCCCTGTGAGTGCTGGTGAGGTGCTTTATTTTTACAATACGGCTTCGCTTTTTACCTCCCCGCCCATATCAGTCTGCCTGATTATGAATGAAGTGACACACGGTGCATCAGGGTCATTGGTTACCTTAGTCACTTGCCATTTTTGGCCACCGTCACCATTGACAGTAGCTTGAAATGCAAATGGATTGCAATTTTAACTCCACCCTATGCCACCTGTAATGTTCACTGTACTGACACGGTTGTGTGTTATCGCGGTCATATGCGCGTAAACAGTTAATCTGTAGGTAATGTTTCGCTTGATCTAGACTAGTGGGGTCTCCCTGTTTCTTGCTTATTTCGTCAGTTTTGTGGTGTTTACTACGGGCAGTTGGCTATAAGTCCCCTTGGCTTCTGAGCCGTGTGGTAGGTTATTCTTAAAAAATGTGATAAAGGGAGTTTTGCTTCTTCCTTTCCCTCCTTTCGTTCTGTCAGTTCATTTTTACATAAAGCCAAGCACCCAAGTGTAGATGGGGAACCTACGCTACTGTATAGTGTCTCGGGAGGACGCTATTACCACTAAAACTAGATAGCACTGCCTTACAGCGCATCGATTGGGCAAAGTCGTACTGGGAATGGGTTGGAACCTGATTACAATTTATTTTGTTTGTTTCATAAAAGAAGAAGGCCAGCCAATAAATTTTTTGCACATCTTCATGCTAATGGAAGTCCAAGCGCTTACATTTGTACTCTTCTTTTGGCAATTGCCTGGGTGCCCATATGCTAAAAACTTTAACGGTCTTAGGGCAATTCTATGTTAGGTTTCACATTCAGCTTTCTTACGGTCTCAACCAACATTTTTTACCTTTCAAGCGATCCTCCCTAGGTCTCTTCATTCGCCTTTAACCAGGCTGGGCTTCGTTAGGAGGGCTCTGCACCCACGCTCTGCTCACAATAGCCCACGTAGAAGTTACGCAGTTCTGTTACCTATAAGGGTAGCTATCTCACCAGATAGTAGTCATACGGCATGCTCCGATGCAACCAATAATTACCCCTTCTCAGACCTTCACAATTTTCACACCAGAATCTTGGGTGTCGATCCGTAAATAACAATGTTTGTTTAACGTCCAAGTGTTGTCGGTGTCGTTTTATAACCCTTTTAATTGCATTTGAAACAGTATTTAAAACCCTAAAATAAATTCTATGGGAAGGGGTATACTTTCGAATCCAGTTGGTAGGTCCCACGAAAGAAATGCTTAGCTTAGGACACGTTGGAAGTGTGACAGTAGAACAATTTGGTAAATGCCCTTGTCATTATTTCGCTTTTGATAGGTAGAACTTTCAACAGCAGCTGGTTTCACAAACCACCACATCACTTTTGATGGGTTTTTTTGCTACTTTAGAACAAAGTAATTGTGGTGATTTAATGAACACAATACGCAATGCTTAACTACGTCAGTGAGACCAGTTTGTATTACCATTGAAATAAATGAATACCAATTCTATTTGAACCAACCGTCAGATATGAAGAGGTGGCCACCTGCAACTTATTGAAACGTAACACCACTTAAAAAGAAAGGTGTCACGTTAACAGAACGCGGTTTAACGTAGCGTTCGACAGTGTGCAAAAAAAGTGAATCCACGCATGACTAGGGGCTTTTGGGTTTCAAAAATGCCTCAACTCCCTAAATGATTATTTAGCCGACGGCGAAAGAAAGCCTTTTCTTGCCATAATGGTTAAACTCTTGTCAAACTTCGACTTGTAATTTCGGTGCTGAAATGGGGCGAATCCATCTACCAGTGTGTATTGCGAAGGGCCATTAACAGCGTAGAAATGTCGTTCTAGCTGACGTTTGATGATGCTGGGTGATTCTTGTGGATTGTTTTTTTTCAAATGATTAAGAGAGATAAGTTCCTGGCAGTTATTTTTCAATGGGTTTTCGTAACGAGATTGGGTTATTCTCTTTAGACCAATGAACCCTGTGTTTATTCTCTTGTTATAAAATCAACCAATTTTTTCCCAACACGCGGTCTGGTTAAACTTTATCAAGAATAGGGGAAAATTTGTGTCACATATTTGTGACGTTGTAGCTCAGGCAAGGAAATTGGGGTGTTATGTGGACGTGGTCGTGATGGAGAGTTTACTAAATAGAATTATGCTCGCATGTCTCATTGAACGTTATTTGTCAGACAGAGGACGAGGTCAGTAAACAGTGTTATGCCTTCTTGCTTAGCAAAAGCCAATCTCTTCGTGAGGAGGAAAGGCCAGTGGGCTAATCCTTTTTTTTTCCTCTTGCCACGCGGACATAGGGCATGCCACCGCAGTGGGTGCAACTGCTCAAGAGCTCCAATATCCCCTCCTCGGAGCAGGCCAAGAATCCCGATCTCATGCTTGATGTACTCCAATGTTACGACGAGTCTGCCAAGCCCAAGGCGAAGTATATGACAAACTTCTCGGGAGTCACTAGTACGTCTGCCTCTCCTTTTTTATTTAGTTTATACTAAATTATGCCTCTTTTTGTCCGTTGGATGAACCAAGTCTCTATTACCAGTCTGAGGATTTGAAGGTGTTTTTGCGTCTCCTTTACAGCATCCTCTATCGCTTGGGTACTCTAGTTTCTTGATGGTAGTGGTTATTCGTCTACTAGACCAGGCAAGAAAAAAAAAATGGGGTGCTTGTGCCATTAACCCTTCTCCAACTTCTTTTTCTGCCTGTCACATTTGGGAGTTTTTCAAAGAGGGTACTTGACATTGGTTGTGAATCACCCTCTTCACTGATGAGTAACTGCTGTTGACTCCCTCTTCCAGACCTGAGTTGGCGTATATCTATCAAGCTGTGAATGCGTCAGCCTTTTGAGGAGGTTACTTGGGCTTATATTCAGTTGTCGGCCGTCATGCTTGTCAATTGTGGCTTCTCCCAGTTACTGATGTTAACTAGTTAATGGTATGATGAGTATTGTTGATAGTCGGAAGAGCAGCCGTCTGGGGAACTTAAACTCCGAGAGCAAGGGGTTTGCTTTTACAGATTTAGTTGTTTTTGGAACCTTGGAGAAAATACACTGAATCAGGATCTGGCAACTGTTTCCACTGCCTGAAGCAGTGATCATGAGATTTCACAAAAGTAGAGCGACAAGGCATAATTTATTTTTTTGTTTCGATATTCGTTTCTAAGGTCCGCTGAAACAAGATCATCTTCGTTAGTAGCGGTGATGGTGGTGAGAATGATCTATCTATCTCTGTTCAACTTAAAGTGCCTACCTTACATTTAAATCCGAATTTTAATCGCCTATATTTGGCGAAAAAAGTCTTCCCACCCCTCATTGCCTGGTGCATTCTTTCCCGTCCTCCAGCAGTTGCGTCGGTCCATTTGTCACAACTGCCTGTTTTTGATAAATGGGTACCTGGCTGATGCTGAAAATTCACTTACTCTGAAAATACCCATCTTTTGTGCTTTTATTCATTTCACATACACTACGTATAAGAAATGCCTCTTTCTGTGGTTTCCCATGTTTTATTTTGGAATATGAATATACTGTGTCGCGTGCAGGCATTGACGCAAATGCTCTTCTCCTTTAAATAATTTCAGTTCTCATAGCCGGTCACTTCATGGAAAAAAATGTGACAAGGTTAGTACGTTCGCTACCCGGAGTCTTGTTTGAATTTTTTAACAGTTGTTTCTGTCTTCTTTGAAATTAAATGTGTCATGCAGGTGCGCTAAATGTGGGTTCACCTAAGTGAATCACAGTGCTAAATGCATGTGACGCTGCTAGCAGTCATTGCTAAGGCATGAAGCTAATGTGATGCAGGAAGGTACCTTTGAAGATGGCGCTGAACAACTGTTGAATTACCCAGTAAATCACCTCTTGTCTGGTCTACGCTAACTCCTTTCCCTTGTTCCAATTCATTTGATAATCTTAGCAGCTTCTCTTCCTTCATCCGCCCCGCAATTAATGGCCCTCCAAATTTGTTTCAGTTTTACTCAAGGTCAACTGTTCACGATGTCGCTCTTGACTTCTCCTGTCAACTCTTGCCTGAGCAGGTTCCATGCATCGGATTTCTTCTTAGCCCATTTTGAATTAATGCATTTTAACTTTTTACGGATGTCTTAGTTAATGCGTTCGCCATCAGCGTCGTCCACATATGTCACATCGAGCTTCCTCTCCAAACCTAACACGAAAAACATGTGCTAGTCGCTTTATGCTAATTGGTTGTAACAAAATCTGTGTCGCAAAATGATGGAATGTTTTTAAAACATTGCAGTAAGTGTAAGATGTTCCTACTGTGATGATATTTTCATTTCATCCATTTTCGGGGCAGTACTTGTAACTGTTGGTTTTCCATGCTGGGAAAACAAAAGAGCTGGCTGTGCTGGTCCCGACAGCGAATGTGCCCTTATTCCCACGTCACGCTATTTATTTTCTCGGGACAAATTTTTTTGGGAGAAATGTCATTGACTTCCTGCAGATCCAATATGACAATTAAGATGACAGATTCTCAACAGAAGCACGTCATTCAAGTAGTATTTTCAATGGCATTGATTCAATTACGTACTCCCTTGATTGGGCTTTATGTGAAACTCACCTGTTCCATAGACTGTAGTTCCTCCCTTCATTGCTTTGTTTCAAATCTTTTTTCCCTTCCTCTAAAGGTGGAAAGGAGGAGGGAGATAAGCGTATGCTTGTGAATAAATGGTCACTCTTGTGCGGAATCTATCCGCCCCACTAGATAAATAACGGTTTGGTTGTTTGGCGCTTCCCAAATACTAGATCATTTTTGTGCGTTTGTCTTTGCTTGTAATACGGTACCTGGAGGGGATTTTGTTCAAATTCAGCGCCCTCTTTTCTCTCTCTGGATTTCGTTTAGCACTCAAGCTGCGTGTCTTTGCTCCTTTTCTGCACGGACCGGAGTGCAGTCTGGTGGGAGGAAGGGGAATGATGGGGCGGTATGCGATTTTTTGGGAAGGATAAGTGTTAAATCCGTCAACGATCGACACCACTATTGCTTCTCTCCTAGGATAAAATAAATTTTTGACGTTCTGCTTGCAGAAAAACTATAAAGTGATTTCGTCTTAGGAAATTTTGATTTTTCGGTTAGTCCTATCAGGTGATTAGGTATAACGGATCAGCTAAGATATTCTAGCACTTTCGTTTCCAGGGGCGAATATGCGGTCCATTTCCTTTATACCCATGTGGCAAGGAAGTGGATTATATCGATAGAGGAGAACAAGTTGAAACAGCAGGTCATGTCGTTTTAGGACCGGTGGAGCTTAAGGCCTGTAATAATCGACTTTCCTCCGCGAACCCGAGAGCTGGTGGTCGTCGCGCAGAAATGTAGATATGCAATCTCTCACACATACGTCTTCTTGTAGAATGTGATCTCCTCCTGGCTGTCTTTCTCCACTTGTGTCGTAGGCAATTCTTGTATTGAAACTTAGCTACACTGAGCTGAATATCTTTTTTAAGTTATTAATTTTCGTTTTCTGAATTTGTATTGCTTCTACTGTTTTCCAAATGGTGCCACTTTAATTGCAATAGATTGCGAATCAACTTTGACTGTCTTTCTAAAACGACCGGCTTTTTCTGTCACAAAATACAGCGGCGCTTTATAGTTGGAAGTTAATTCGTTTCAGCGCTAAATATCTTACCGGTGACTAAGTGTAGTTGATACTTTTTGCGCATCTAAAGTTTCTGCTACTCCAAAGGGAATTACTTTTTATCTTTTCCTCCGCTTTAAGTAAAACTTGATCCGATTTTTTTGATAGCCTTGTAAAACTGTCGGCTTTTGTTGCTTGAATTGAGAGCTGTTTTCGTTTATTTGCGCTACCATTGTTGTCTCAATTTGAACGTTGCAAATTAGTGTTAAGTGCCCCTTTGAGGTGAGTAGCTACTGATCCGTAATTTTGGGTTTGATTTTCCCGAATCTGACCGTGTTTCTTGTTTAGCAGAATGCTCCTTAACGGTGAATGTAAGCACCTGTTTCTTTAATCTTGTCGAACTCTACTTAATTTTTTAGTATTGAAATTGTTGATGTTACAGTTTAGTCATGATGCAACACTAATATCAAATGTCTTCACAAACCATCCCCACCGTTTTTTTTGTTTATTTGGGTTTCTTCTGCTTTTGGTAATGGTGATGCGTCAATTTGAAAGTGATTGTGATTTCATATTAGGCATTATAGACCACGTCTAAATTTGGATACCTTCGCATGGCTACCAGCTGTCTAGCCTACCTTTGTCGGTTGTTCATTTGTGTATTCTCTATCGCGTCTAGGTTCTTCGGGCTCAGTGGACTCGATGAGCCAGTCCTCTTCCACTCGGTGCTCCACAACCACCCATCAGTTCTCTCCTCCTCCGCCAGCCCCCTCGAGCATGAGCGAGGGTCTTCACCTCCTCTCCGACCTGCCGTCCTCCTCAACACCACCGCACCACAAGTTTTCTACCCTTTCCAGCCCCCTCAGTAGTTTCATGCCCTCTAACACCACCGAGACCTCGTCCTTCCGCGGCTACAGCTACAATGAGACCTCTGGGGCAGTTACCGCAAACTCCACCTGCTCCACACCCCCACCGATGTACTCTGGATCGCAGCGAAGGACCAGCGACGTGGTCAGCACCACTGCCACAGGCACAGGCGTCGTTGGAGGTAGACCTCCACCTCCCACACCTCCCCATCGCACGTGCTCTGGCGGCGGCGGTGAGGCAAAACAGTCACAATTGCAGCAGCAACAGTCGGAGAGGGAGCAGTCTGCGTCCTCATCGGCAGCATCGTGCAACGCTTCCTCGGTACCCAGTTTGCCCACTACATCGGGTGTCTCGGTGGGTGGTGGGTCGTCCAGCTTTACAAGGTGAATTATGAGTACTGTTTTGTGTTAAACTGGTCTTCAACCTAGTCTGATTCTGTGATAATAGTTTCTGTTTGAAAAAAAATGTAAATTAATTTTCTATGTAGGTTTGCATTTCTAAATATTGACTGAATCGGCAGATGATTACACTTGAAGGCATTACGAGGAGTCCTAACACCAACGATGGACAATAATATAATATTCTTACTGGTAAAGCACGTGGTGATTGCAAATTTACTTGGACATTTAATCAGCCAGACCTTCGATTTTGTTTTGATGAGTCCAAAATGCGTTTTAGCCACGTTAATGGGAACTTGACTGTTTCCCCAGTTGATATCAGTGAGAACCGGATTTAATTTTCCCCTCCACCACCATCATCTCATTTAAATTTGCTCCTCCATGACTCGCCCATTCATGCCGACCTTAGATCATCCCTCCCTTCACAAAAACTCCTTTTTTAAACTCCATCCTTTTCCGGAGTCTATACATGATTTACTGCTGGTTAAATGATCCCATCATGCTGTTATTCAGTTCTGGCTCATGCTAAACAAATTGGCATGCTCAGTTGAGAGCGTGTGTTCTTTCTGCACGCAAAGGTGTCTAAGTTACCACGCTTGTGTCCAGACATCAAAGACACCGCAAGTAGGCTTTACGGCCATTGTTCATTCTACTTCACAACAATTGAACCAAAGTCTACGTCTTATTTGTTACAGTTCCCAGCATTGGAACCTTGTTAATTGTTAACATGTTCCCTACTAGAGGTAGAAGTGGTAAATTAACCACCACAGACTACACGTTTTATTGTTCCAGTAACAACGTTTGCCTTTTTCCTGACTAATTCAACCACTGCTCAAGCATAGTTGTTTTCCTTAGACCAAGATGCAATTCTTGCTGAAAATTGGGTTTCCCGTGGTTTCATGCAATATAATATCACATTTGCATAACCTATCTATTAGAGAGCAATAACAATTATCACTTGTAATGCCTCTGAAGTGCATTTTACTTGGTGCTGATGACCATCCACCGAATAATACCACCTCAATTGAGAGTTATAAACGATTCAATTTTCTGTTAGACTGCTACCTTGATCGAAGGCGAGAATGGTAACTTTCCTGACCATCTGCGATTTGATTGGCTCAAAGTAAGGGATCAACTGATGCTTTTGTGTGGTTATTGTGTCTAAAATGTAGCACATAACTGCTAGAAATGCCCACCAGTATTATTTTAGCCGTAATGCTTTTTGCTGAAATCCAGCTAAATTCTAATTTCCAGCTTGTTATAAAGGCAGACCAATTGTCAGCGTTTCCGGTTACCTAATTAATCATTGCATTGTTTCTTCGCCTTTCCAATACTTATCTAGGAATATGGTACTGAAAAGGAAATACTGGGCTTCATTTTTAATCCGGGAAATCGTTAATTCATTAGGACGTAATAAATCCCTCCACGAGTTGGGCCAAAGTTGTCCTGTCGACATTGAATAATTTGCTATTCTGCTCTCTCGTCTCACCTGGTTTATCAACTAAGATGAAAAATAAACACCAAGCATCGGTAAATCGGGTTCGTTTAGTTAATTATGAGCGTGGGAAGAGTTCTGTCATGTCTCACCACTTCAAATCGGCATGAAATTCCGTATCCTGTTATTATTGATGGTTGTCATACTCCTGATCGAAAGGCTACGCTTACCATGAGCGGATAATTAACAATTCCTATGAAGTTGTTACCCATTTACGGTCTGTTCAAAATATCACCCATAACAAAGAGTGGGTATCACAAGTCAACGAAATGCTTGACATGTGATGGGTGCTAATGTGATGTTTCAATTTAAAGGCAAAAGGGAACGTCCAGGAAGAGTTGGTTGCTTTTTCAGTGGTGTCTAACGTCCCTTCATTCTATCGCCACATACAAGGGTTGTGTCCATTGCAGTTGCGCTCTGACAAAATTAAGGCTAGTTTTCTCCAACTTGTCTGGTATGCCTCCAAATCGTCCCAGGTAGGTGCATGGAAAAATTCGCATGACTCCTCTGGTCCGATACGCGCACGTGAGCGAAAGGGGAGAGGTGGATGCTACTCTGCATTATGGCAGTTTTTCTCCGTCTCAACCACGAACAGTACTATACGTATTTGGCTCGTCTCTATAGTGTAGTTCCCGTTGTCTTTGCCAGTTCTACTACTTTTCGCCCATCGTTCAATAAATCATCTCACTGATAACAGTTGGTACAGTTTTCCTCCTATTGGTTGTTCCGATATTTTTTTTAAAATTCTCCATCCACTTAAGTTGGTTCTTTCCCAGTTAGACATGGAATGCCGCCATGATTTGTGGTTTTAACACAGCGCTTCCAGCGTCTTTCGTAGCCTTGATATTTTTTGATCCTCCTTACTAGGAGGAAGATTAATCAATGTTTCATTCCTCATTTCATTTTATTGCTTTACAGTAGTGGCTGCTCCTTCTACTACTACTCAGGTAGTGGAGACACAAGCAACTCGCCCACTTCGGCCTGCGGATTTACCGCTCCCGCTCCACCACCACCGATTCCACCGCATCACGTCACCACTGCTCCCACAGCTAGTGGCACCGATCCTGCTGCCACACTGCGTGGCAGTCACCACCGCTCGGTGCCACCTGCAGCAGCCGTCACCCTCGTTAAGGGTGGGTTGGGCGGAGACGTCAGTGAAGGCGAACACCGAGCTCTCTCCTCTACTGAAGATTATCCCTGCTCACAGACATCGCATTCTCAGCCTCAACCTCCACTTCCACCTCCTCCACCAGAGACATCCACTTCTGCGGAAGAGGAATGTGACGACCAGGATGAGGAAGAGGAGGAACAGGAGGAGTCTTCTGAGGAAGAAAACGATGAAATGGTTATGATAACGGAAATGGAAGTGGAGGAGAAAGAGATGTCTCCAGACACAGTACATAACATGAGTGTGGAGTTGGAGAGGCGGATCTGCTTGCGTGATGTCTCCCCTGTCGATAGTGCTATCATGGTGAGTCGATGTTGCCATACCATCGAAGTGGACTCTTTGTAGAAGGATCTTAGCGCTCATTCTTTTGTCCTGAAAATGGTCCCTTTCTCCCTCCTCCCTTCAGATGCTCTTCAAAGTCTATTTCATTCTCTGTTGAAGGTAGCTCCAAGAATTATTATTCGACCTCATGAAGAGACTGCTAGAATCTGAAAGTTAAATTTTTGGAGAGGCGAGAAAAAAACTTTCTGTGAAATTGAAAGGATACTAAAATCCCTTGAAATGTAAATTAACTCTTTAATTTTTGCCTTGCGCTTAAAATGTGAAACGGGGAATTAACTCCTCACTGTTCTCTTTTTTATTAAAACTTGCTCTTAGGGCAAAGTTTTTGTTTTGGTTAGAACTTTACACAAAGACGTGGGTTTCTACATTCTGTATATGGTAGGTGATTTCGGGTCAATTTTGGTTCATCCGGTGAGGTCACGACCGTTATGTGCAACCTTGACCGCCTTACAGTGCGAAGCACTTAGTGCTGCATTTTCGACTCGTAGTGTTTGTTCCTGTGTTCATGGACTTGACTGTGAGCGTTTGCCTTCTCGCCAAACCGACAATGCGTCCTGCAGTGTACTTTTCCTTATTGACAATGGAATGTGTGAAGCAGAATCCACGTCTGGGTGTGGAATGCACAACTGCCTTTAGACGTGATTTTATCTTACGAAGGGTGGACATCAAACGCCGAGCGTGGATTCCCTCGGTAGCAGTCCCTAGGGCTTTGCATCCTGCTATCACCCTACTGGTGATAGTTATTTCTTGCTTCACTCTTTTATGCATTAATCCGAGTTCCCTGGCTCTGCAGTATCACCGGTGTTGGTAGAACTACTTTGTGGTAGATTTACCGTTTGCCACTTCAACCACTTCCTACGGCATTACCAATTGTCTTGTTTATGTACACGGTGACTAAGGAGAAAGGCGAGAGATGGCAGTGACAACAGAGTTCCGTCTTTCCCACTCGTACTTTTCTGACCAATTCAGTATTCTACTTTTCACTTCGTTGTTTGATCCCCTTTTGTAGAAGATGGTACAATACTGGCTCTTTTGTCCATGGTGTTCCAACTAATTGTGACTCCTTGCTCTTGACGGCAATGTGTGTGAATTTACCCTTCAACACACTCCCATCAGTAAAAACTGTTAACGTTGTAAAAATAAGGACTTTAATGATGTTATGCTATCAAAACGGTGGTGAATCTATTCTTTGAAGGCCTACACTGAAGGAAGGGGGCTAATTCTAAGTCCTAAATAGCTGTTACCCTTTGACACATAATGCCTTAAATTGCGCTCTGGAATCAACTTGTCGAAAAGGCACTGGTCCTTTTCGTCCGTCCCGCCTGCCAAACCATTAGCTCCTATCGTAAACCTAGAGGCTCGAAGAAGCTGCGAAATTAATGCCAGTGTTGGGTGTTGCGACACAACATTAGACGGTGTGTCTCGGACGGGTGCTTTTGCTATCTACAGCGCCCAGCAGTGAAAGTGATAGCAACAGCAGCACCCAGCTTCAGCCAAAGGTGGTGACTAACTCCCCTCCCCCTGGGCCAACGCAAACATATTTGGGCGCGGACGTGCGCGCGCTGGCTCGTCCGCTGTCTATCGACCGTCCGAAATTGCGTGCGTGAGTGTGCGCGCGCACGCTTTCCCATGGATTGCGCCTGCGCATGTGTACGCACGCCTGGTGACTCATCGGGAGGCGTAATGCAATTACAATTGCGCCAGCCAAAGTGGTGCTGTTGTTTCCTTCGTCTCGATTTTGATAGTCCTCTTTGCCTACTTTTTATCCTCCATTTTCCCTCATTTGTAGGATGCCACGGCAACACTTCTACCGCCTGCCTCCAAATCTGCAATTGAGAATGGTGGTACTCTGACCAATGGTCATGCAAAGAAACATCCCATAGGTGAGTCCACTTCACTGAAAGGAGTCATGGACTGTTCTCTTTTCCTCTTCAGTTCTATTTGAATCCTCCCCTTACTTGGCTTTCTTGCATTTTCACCTAGATATCTCTAGTGGAACGAACCATCTATCTCTGGAATTCGTATTCCATTTCATAATGAATTTATCTTTGTCGTTATTTTGTCATAAGTATGAGATGTGGCTTCCAGTTTTTGATTTTGATATTTTTTAAATGCCACTAAGTCATCGAAAGTTTATTGTCCCCTTCCCATGCTTTTTTTCTGTCGTGGTTTTCCGCTACTTAGTTGCTGCCCCAAATTGGTTGGTGCACAATTCTGTTTTTTTTTTTTTTTCACAATGAATTTGAGCTTTATTATCACTTTATTCATTGAGCAATCCGTGGCCAATTAAATCACCCGGTTCTTTAAATGCACTTATCCCTTTTTATTTGGTAGCCTGCTAAAATTATTCTCTATTATTAGTATGAAGAACTAATCTCCTTTCAACGGTTGCAGTACCTACAAACACAAATGAATGTGTTATCTGAATACTTCAATAGATTAATCACCTTATGCCTCCTTTTCTCCAAGTCAACCTCGAGTGTTTGTTTACCTCCATTACTTATGCCGGATTTGAGTAGCACAGTAATTTTCCCGTTGAACAACAGGTAACCCCGAAAACACGGTCAAGCCGCCTCCTCCATCCACCAACATCACACAGAAACCAAATTCTCCGGTCCTAACAGGCATCACCCCGGCAGTTCATCACTTCCCCAATTCGCCCAAGTTAAATCACTACTATCACAACAACACCAACAGCAGCCATAACCAACAGCATCAGCATGCCGCGCCGAGAAGACGAACCAACAATAACCACCATCGTCTCACCGATCTTCAGGTGTACGAGAAGTTGCGGACTATTGTTAGTCCGGGCTGTCCCACGGACAAGTACTGCGTGGTTGAAAAGATTGGCCAAGGGTGAGTGATTGATCTGGTGGTCAGTGGAACCCTCTGGGACGAATCAATCAGTTCGGACATTTAACCTCTACTCTTGTCGTTGTAGGGCCTCAGGTGTAGTGTGCAGCGGCTACGAGATTGCAACGAAGAAGTTGGTGGCCATCAAAAAGATGAATATAGCGCAGCAGCCCAAAAAGGAGTTGATTATCAATGAGATCCTTGTGATGCGGGCTAACCGACAGCAGAATATTGTCAACTTTCTGGATGCCTACCTTGTTGCACCTTCACCTTCTACTGCCATGACAACACCAGTTAAGAGTCTTAACCCAAGCTCAAATGGGAATGGTGGCGGAAGTGGTGAGGAACTGTGGGTGGTGATGGAGTATCTGGATGGTGGTTCGCTCACTGATGTTGTCACGGAAACGTGCATGGAGGAGGGCCACATTGCGGCTGTCTGTAAGGAGGTGAGCTCTTCCATTCCTTGCCACTCAGTAGTTCCTTCATTGTTTGGAGCACTCATTTTCAAGACTTGAAGCCTGAAGTAACTTCTCCTATTTACATCATATCTGATATGAATGGCTAACTTGTAGTTCCGAAAATATGTTGAGGCAGCCCTTATCGATGTTACTTCCTTTTCAATTTTCTCAGTCTGTGCGCTCAAATCCAACACGTCAACGAACATGATCTCAATATTTTGCCTTATCTTTTCTTCAGCATGCTACTTCCTAAATTCCTCAACAGTGTAGTGGTGATGTCGGAAGCAACTGATTCGAGGCAAAAATTCTCACTACTTAAATCATTTTAATTGGGGTAGGGTGGGTGAATTTTTTCAATAGGTCTGGCACTCTTAGGTACCTTGGTAGCCGCCTGAATTGCTTTGAAGTGTAAATTTTTGTTAAAAGGTTTAGTAGGCCACTCAGTGCCTCTCCCCCTCGCCGAATCTTTAAGTTTATTTGGGCAGTGGCTTCGCGCCACGGTGGACTTCGGACCTTCGCGAGCCCTTTCACTTTTGACAGATTCTCCAAGCACTTCAGTTCCTGCACGCAAACAACGTCATCCACCGCGACATCAAATCGGACAACATCCTTCTGGGCATGGACGGGTCAGTGAAGCTGACCGATTTTGGTTTCTGCGCTCAGCTCTCGAACGAACGCATGAAGCGCTCTACTATGGTGGGTACGCCCTATTGGATGGCTCCCGAGGTGGTCACGCGGCGTCAATACGGCTACAAGGTTGACATCTGGTCACTTGGCATCCTCGCTATCGAGATGGTGGACGGGGAGCCACCCTATCTCACCGAGAATCCGCTTCGTGTACGAATAGCCACTCTCCTCTCAAATGACAGGAAGGACAAAATCGGAAGATTGATTAATTAATTTTTTTTTGTTTTGTAGGCGCTCTATCTGATCGCAACGATCGGCAAGCCGGAGATCAAGGAGCGAGATCGCCTCTCTGCCACCTTCCTCGACTTCCTGGATCGGTGCCTGGAGGAGTCAGTTGATAAGCGAGCTACAGCCTCTGAATTGCTGCAGCACCCCTTCATCACTACGCAGGCGAAACCGCTATCCAGTCTAATCCCCCTCATCCAATTGTCTAGGGAGCAAAAGTAGCCTTCCCCCCGTGCAACAAGTGTGTTCCACCCCGTATTTACGCCCAGTTGATTAGCCTACTTATTGTTTCATTCAGCAGGGTTTATTTTTTAGTTAAGAAACATTCCTGCGCCACTCCTGCTACTGACGAGGTAGTGACGATGACCGAGATGATGAAGGTGGTAGCGAAGAATTTCTCCTTGCCTCTCCCTAGGACAATCATCACCTATCCTCCTCACTTCCTCCTCTTTGTGTATAGGGCTCACGAGAGATTTGCGCCTCTTGTTTATCTATTACTACTGCTGTTATTATTATTAATTATTTCATTCTACTAGTAGGAGTAGTAGTGGTAGCTGACGCCAACTCCTCCCCCCTCTCCCCTCCCCCTTGCCGTCATCATTCAGACTCCTCCTGCACGAACAAGGTGGAGAGAGATGAACGATGAAATTAGTGGTCAACTGACTAACTGATTAATTTTTAACCAGTCACTACCGCCTGTGTATGTGTGTGCGTGTGTAGTTTTAAAGGAGACTGCCTATTTACTAATGTTTAAGCGTCTCTGAACGCAGACAAAAGACATGCAGTGATTGACCGCGCGCATCACTCTTTCTCTCTTTTGCTCCACTTCACTCAATGTCACTTCATGCATCCTTCAATCTTGCGTACACTTATACACCTTGTAGGCCCACATACGAAGCAATTATATTTGAACCACTTTTTTCACACTCTTGGCGCATTAACTCTTTTGTTTCCCTTTTTGAAATTGTGGGGTGGGGGTACGTAGAAATTAAATTTTAAAGGTTAGAACTGGATGTGAATTTCGGTTTGAGACTCTTCTAGTCCTTAGTCGGAACGGAAAAGCACCTTTGCTTTGGTTTTTGCTCAAGCTCCCAAAATGGACGATAAGGTTTTCTGGAGAGGTGATGCCGTCGAAAGTATCTGGGGAGTTTTTCCATGTGGCAAACAGCAGGATGACACTGGGAGCATTTCTGTTTTTTTTTTTTTCTCTGGGACAAATGCGCTGGCGCATAGTGGAATGCGTCTTGAGTTAGGCATTGGGGTCGTTGGTTTTCCAGGTTTGCATTCACACAATTTTTAGTGGACATAGACATGCAAAAAATGAACTTATGGTGAAAGATAAATATGCTTTTGTATTCAGTGGTTGGGTGCTTGGTCTTTTCAGGAAAAATGACGATTATTTTACTAAAGGCGGTCGGACTTAATTTTACCATTGGCATTAAGAGTCTTTCGGTCTCAACGTCTAAAGTTTGGCTTTTAGATTAACAGAAATCGGTGAGGTGATTTCAGAAGGCACGATAACTAGGCAGGTGTTTTTTTCGCTTTTTCCTGCCTTGCCTATTTATTATTCCTTTCTCGAATAAATTGTAGCAATGGGAACAATATCGATACGATCTAAGTAATAAGTAGGGGTAATTTCCGTTCTACTTGAATGGAGTCGCTTTCTCTAAGTGGAAGGAATGTTATTATGGTTCAAATTGAGAAGGTCAGTGTTATTAATCGTTTTGGGTGTGTTAAGGCTGCAGGAACGTCTTACAGAAGAGAAGGCAAGATCAATAAGCTGGATACAACAGATACTTATTTTTAGAAACGAGGTACATCCCACTGGATCGTTACTAAAGTCTTGCTATCCCAATGTATTATCCAGACACTTCCCTGAAAAATGAAGAAGACATACTGTTTGGGCAGGATATGTATTGTCGACCTACGGAGGGCTTGGAGGCTCCTGGCCTAAACCGGAGGCCAGGCTGCCTGGCCAAGAAAAATGGTAAAGCTCTAATCGGCCCCTTACTAAATATAGGGTTAAATAATCAATTAAATTAGTGCCTTGGTGGCGCCAATTTAGTATCGTGTTTTTCACCATGACAACACGCTCAGATTACTGCCAAACTAATCATTACTTTCACTTATTTCACCACAATTCCATAGGCTAGCTGTGCAAAATTTAGATTCCCCTAATCAATTCAGACAAAATACATGGTTTTGTAATTTCATACTTTTCCAGAACTTTAATCATGAAATAAGAATTCACAAATATAGGCGCTTAATTCAAAAGGAATTATGCTTGAGTGACCACCAATCAGTGGAGGATTAAAAGCAAACTAATGAACTGCTTGACTGCCGTCCAATCACGTCGCTCCAATGATGTGTCTACTGACCTATCATTGATTGATTCGCCGTCGTAGGTGATGCACCACAATGAATGGGGAGATCGGATCATAAATTTTGCAGCGATATTTGACAAACACATGCCTACATTCTGCCAAAACGTAGTCACTGCTAACAATGGACGATGGAAAAAAAGACTACCCTTGCAGCACCCCTTAAAAAGTACCACCGGATGCATCCCACGGGAGTTGGGATAAAAAGTGGTTTAACATTTTTGGGCAAAACGTCGGTTCCTCTCGTATTTATCAAGTGTTAGCAATCAAAGTGGTTAGAAATTGAAAACCATCCGCTCCATTCATCCCCAATCGCTGACCATCTTCAGGTCAATTAATGTGAACCACCATCGAAAACCATGCAGAATGCCACTTTTTTCCCAAATTTTCCGTGACGATCAGTTTCGCGGCAGATCAATTGAGGAGCGCTACTGACTACTCATTTCTTATGTCCACCATTCTTACAATTGGTAGGATTTGCCTTTTTTTATTCAACGCAACTCATTGCATCTTGCTCGAAATGGTGGGGATTAAGAACAAGGATGACTTAAAATCTAGCCGCACCAATTGATAGAAGAGTAGAATAAGTCTGAATGTGGGGGCTAATCGGGAAGAAAATTAATGAACTACACAACAGCGTCTAGTAGCTCAAAACAGAGTGAAGCAGCGCGTAGGCGATTTTATCAGTCAAAGTTGGGGGAAAAATAACTGCAACTGAACCACCTGTTAAAATAGAAAAGTTCGGAATGATACAGATTTTACGAGACACCGCATAGATCATAGAAGTGGAAGTTTTGTTTAACTTCCATACACTAGAATGCATGTACGAATTTTAAGTCGTCATTTATTAATTTAAAGTGTGTTTAGAATCGAGGTCGCCAATCTGGAGGCAAGGAAGACAGGAAACCCTAAACGTAAACCTCACTTGAGAGAAAGTAACATCGCTGCATCATTCTCGGAACACTGTGAGTGGAATGTGGGCTCTCAAGGCACAAATTATCCCTCATTGCCACACGCTTGACACGGGGATAAAGTTCTTCATGATAGAGCTATCGTTGATGGATTAAGAAGACCTTTGTGGCTGACACGAAGCACTCCGGACGTTCTTCAGACTGTAGTCGAGATCGCAGAGCATGACAAGGGAATGCTGGCGTTTTGTGACAACAGGGGGGTACTAATTGTAGAGACCGCAGGGCATTCAAATGCGTACAGAATTTCCGTCTAGAATGATTATAATTACCTGGGAAGATTTTGTGCCTTTTAAATAGACCTATTGATACAAAGCGAGTGAAAGGAGCAGGCCTCACACACACTAATGCTATTTCCCTCTGTTTAGCAAAGCAATATGTGAGTCATTTTTATAACCCTTGATAAAAATTGAGTAAGTCAAACTATTTATGCAAAAGCTACAATCTCCCTACGTATTTACACTACGTTTTTCTAAGATTTTGCCCCAGTTCCATTATGTTACTTCGCCATTGGTGCATTTAAATTACGCCAGGTTGAATACAAAGATGTTATTGGCCTCTTTGGAATGTGGCCTTATTGATTAAGAGGCCGCGTTAACCATAATTAATGCCTGTAGCACAAGCAAACAACAAGTTACGCAATTTGTGTGCATACGCATATTTCATTACTAAAGGGAGATTTATCTTGCAGAATTCTTATAAATTGCGCTAATGTTTAATGATAACATTATGATATACGTAAAAAGCTGACAGCATGAATGCATTGATCAGATGCACAAAGTTGGTGTGCGTGGATAGCAACAAAGTAAATGGCTATGCTCTGCAAAAAGTAGATAGTCAATTATTTGTGAATCATATTTAGACCACAACTTTGCTAAAATCAAGGCTATCATGTAACCAAGCCCTCATTCAGCTTTCCTATGCACACTGAAAGTATTTTTCCTTTTCTCTCTCTGCCTGTTTTGAAAGTTATTATTCAGCACTAATGGCTTTGACTGTGGCAGATTGGACAGTAGCAGGAGGTAAGTACATTCAAATGTTAACCTTTGAGCAGGCTAATAGACAGCTTAATCAGTGAGTCCTGATTGTCTCTTTATTGGATTTGTACACCGAAGAACACATTCATTGAATGGAATGCTGCTTCTGTAAGCTTGTTGATGATTGCGTTCATTAATCACAGACTGGCAACGTACATGCAAAATCCACATTAATCTGTCTTACCAGTCAGAGATAGTCAAACATGATAAGGCACCACCTATCATCCTTTGGATTTCCTACCTTTTTCTGTAGAAATACGGGTTTGTAATCGTCACACGTTTGAAATGCATTCTTGCTGAAAGTGTTCATCATCTGATTCCTATAGCAAGCCCTATCACCACAGATTGGATGTTGCATTGCTCTACTGAAGTAATGCTGCATATCAAAAACGGTAAAGATGTATTTCGTGACTGGATTAGACCCAAGGTCTAATGCAAACACGAAAGAACACATCGTTTATGGATAATACTTTCAGAAAACTTGAATTCCGCACATGTTACTTATATTACATTTAAGTAGATCAGTATTAACATCAGGTGAAAAATATTTAATACGCCTATGGTTCTCAAGACGATACAAAAAAGATAGTAGATTAGCCTGTTTTTTAACCGATAAGTAGCTTAAAATTAAATATCCTTGTAGAACACACTTTATGTCTAAAATTTTGGAATGTTATTTGTAAATCTTCGTAATTCTTAATTTAAAAATGCTAAAAATGGATCCAAAAAATTGTCTTTCTGGAAGGCATTTTGCATTTTCAGATAGAAAAAAGTAGATATTTGGTGACCTTGACCGAATTCTCCCTACTAGTATGGTATTCAGCTAGCAGGGTTCCTGTTTCTCCTACTCGAGTCCAATTACGTTCAAGAGGGCACAGATGGAATTTTGTAGCGTTGTGGATTAAGAATAAAGAAAGAGAATGCAAACCAACATAAAGTAGAATTTGCACTAAAGACTAGTTGCATGCGCATCCCACCTGTAAGTTGAAATCATCCTTCTATGAAGAGGTGGTGGATCCTAATAATGGACAGGCTGTAACGGTAGTCCTGATGTGTTCACCAACCTTCAAGGTTTTGTGAAAAATATAAAAAAGCACAATCGTATGCCATCGTTTGGTGTTAGGTCAGGGCATGAATGTAGTGATGAGGTAATCTTAAGGTGCCACCTTTTTGGGAGCCCTCAATCTAAAGTAGGTATGTAGAGGGTCCCGAGACGATGCGTTTGCCGATGGCCTGGAGGGGGAGCAAGAGGAAGATAGAGAGGAAAGTAGAGAGAGATTGAGTGGGAGAGAGAGGGATATCCGTGGAATGTACAGATGCACCAAATGTTACATTTCACAAATGTACTTCAAATGAACTTATTTCAAAAATTGCTGCACAAAGAGCACGAAAACATTCTTCCATATTTCAAATGCAAAACAAGGAAGGCACTTCTAAACCACCGACAACAAAATTTATTCACTACTTTGGGAGTTGCATAATATCTCATTTAAATATCCCGGCTGCACTTTTCCTCTTTTCAATTACTTTTCTTTGAGATGTCAAAATGAAACAATTTTTCGGTTTTAGAGAAATTGTGATTAATGGACACGTAAATCCTTCTTCATCCTTCTTACCTTCCTTTCAGGTCTTCCACTGATTAAGCAAAATATAATTGATGACGGAGGAGTTTGGATAATAATGAGACAAAATGCGGTCCTCCTAGAAGTGCTTAGACGTAAAAAGGAACAAAAAACAGCGTATTCTCTCACAGTTTTACTCTGCGGCCTATTTTTGTCTTTGAATTGCTTCAGGGTTCTTGCAACATCGAAAGGCAACAGTCTCTGGACCTTACATATGGTTTTAGGAAGCATATTCTTTAACTCTGCAAATGGAGACAGATGCCATTCTTTTGTTTGCTCTTGTGGGGATTAAGTCATCCCAGTTATTAATAAGATGGAACTCCTTTTAAAGTAGTATTAATAATGACGTATTTTTCCTACAAAAAGGGCGAAAAATTGTTCTAGAATGAGTGGTTTGGCTTGAGTACTCTGGAAGACGTTAATCATGACGGAGAGAAACTGTAAGCCAAACACGATTTTGTTGTCCGGGTATCATACCAAGATTTTATCCAAAAAATCTGCACCAATCTTTGAGGAGTGTACAAAACTGCAGCTTAGGCCAGTAAAAGAGACCAGGTATAAAAAATCAAGGTCAAACATGATGATACACCTGTCGTACCGTACTTCTGCACAATCCCCAAAAACACAATATCCCAAGGTATAGACTCACTGTGGAACACCGTCGAGTCTTCAACACCCCGCCTTAAATAAAGCCCTTATTAATGTACTGCTCCGCTTAGAAGAGACGATACTAATTCGAACTCCCGCACAGCTCTTCCATTTGCAAAGTTAAGAAAAGTCAAGTTCTAGCACTTTCCATGCTTCTAGTCACTCTTTCATCTCCCAAGAAGTCATTTAGATTCAATTGATACTTTAACTTGAATCATCCATCAATCTGATGGCAAACCCCGTTTAAGCATTTGCATCACATGGTGAGAAGCCGACGACTGTACGCCAGCGTCGCCAGTAGTTATGAATGGGTGTTTATGTGCTTGAGGTTGAGTCCTGTCTAGCTCTGAAAAGGAGCAATAAGTAAACAAAGGCTTGGATTGACACCACTAACTGCCGACGTGTATGCGTAGGCTTGGAAGATACGGCAAGTGCGCCAATGGCAGCCGTCTGAACAAAGGAGACTTGAGAATTCACTTTCTAGTTTTCAGTCCTGCCTACATGCATGATTTGATTGACCTTGGCCTTCTAGTGAAGGTAAGCAAAATTCGGATCTACATGAATGTCACTTTGGAGAGACCAAGCAAGTGAGCAACGTTTTTCAATGTTTGCGAGATGTTAGAATGAAGTATGGAAATTTCTGAAAAACCGAAATAAGAAGGTTTTTGGGTTTGGAAGCATCCCTAACAATTAACCGTTACCTCATCCAAGGTTGGTGCTGACCAGTTAAGCATCTTCAGCACCATTTTAGTCAACAAGAAAACGCAAAAGCAGCAACCATTAAAGATGACGTGTCTTCATTGTTATTATGCATTTAGAATAAAATCATCACAGCAAGCAAATGATCCGAACCAACTGTATTCAGAATGGTAGGTTCCGCTACAGACCAACGCCTACCACCTACCACCCACTGCCTACTGCCTAATATCGAGACTCCACCACCTACCCTGTACTGCGTACTGTGTACTGCATACTGCGTACCACACGCTGCGGACCATATCTTCCCTTCAGACAAACAATACATCTCAGAGGAAGGTCTACCATTAGCACTAGAAACTCGTTCCAACTCAACTCACACCCTTGCTAATCGCAAATCAAATCCACATCCACGTGGTTAACTGCTGATATTCGAAGATGACGACGACGATGGTGGTGCTGATGATTCGAGACTTCATGATGAGAGCAGTTGCATGATGCTGAGATGAGGCATGTCTGTACTTCGTAGTGCATGCGAATAAACAATCACACAACCATATTCCATTGTTCCCACTTTTGATTTGTCGATCTCAAAGCCTTGTAGAATGCTCTGCTTAATTCTCCCCACCTGCCTGTGATCTGAGTGCACTCACGTCTTCCACTTCCTTATCAATTTTAGCGCTCCTCAGTCCCATGTCCTGTCCTCCCTTACAGCCTTGTAAGACAGGAGGTGTTGCTCTTTCAGAGGCCACTAGCACTTTATCACTTTACCCTAGAAGCCTCCACATTTTCCGTAATGGACACTGCTGCCGCCCTCATCGTGTACTCATCCTCATTTGGGGTCAGGAATCGGTATGCCAAGTTGCACTGTCTTCTGAGCAGTCAGTGTAGTGTCTCACCGAGTACCTGGTGGTCCACAATAGCTGCGCTTCGCCTATATCCATCAAGCAAAAACGATGCCACCTTCAAAGCACCAAAGAAATAGGCCAGCCAAACATAGGCATCGGGAATTGGCTTTACTAGTTAGCACAGAAAAGTTCTTTGAATTGGACGGGGGGAAAGCGATGCGGAACATTTTAAAAAACAGCGTACCGATGCCTATATCGCAAGTGTTTACACAGTCACATGTTTTAGAGGTGCATGTCGCTCTCTGAGACATTTAAAGGATTTCGGCTAGAGGATTCAAGGACAGGCAAATGGTATGCTGCAGTTTTCCAGTCTCATAGCCAGAGCATTAATTTTACAATTTTATTATTTACCTTCACTTTATTTGGGAGTTGTTTTTGAGGTTTAGAAGTCCTTCATGTACATTTAATGCGTCTCCTGCTTCCTAAACCATATATGAAAAGCGCCCTACCTACACAGTCAGTGACAGGTCTGCGTTACAAATGTGACATTTGCTCACTAACGGTATCTAATAACTTTATTGACAGGAAATCAGAGTTGTTAAATAGATACTTTCAATTTTAAACGACAAAATGGATGTGGAATTTACTAAAGTTCGGACAACCCTTTTTTGAGGCTATTAAAATGGTGAAGTTTGTGTTGTCATAACTGAATGCTGGGAGGTTCTACAGCCTCCTGATTACGCAAAAGTTCGCAAATCGTCTAGAGTGTTCCAAAGCTCTTGCTCCTGGTCTGTTCCCCTGCCTGGTCAGTATCACATGGAAATGGGCTTTGAATAGCTGTAGACGCGTACCCACACGCTGTGCCCCCAATCTACTAGCATGGGATGGCAGTAAAGACCTCCGCCTTGCAGTCCTCAGTCCTTCTGTTTGAGAATTCGTCAGGATTTTTGATCCTGCACACATATAGCAGTTTGTGACAATGAAACATCAGGGTGGCTGTTTAGGGTAGGCCCGGTAGGGTGACCTAGCATTTGAAACTCAGGGGAAAGCGGCTACAGCCTACGCATGGAGTGAAAGGCTATCGAACAAATCCTGCTACACTCCAGCCAGTGCTTAGACACATTGACCACCAAGGGTGTAACAGGCTAGACACGTCTTGAAGGGTGGTGAAGGACTCGAGGATTAGAGACTTGGATAACACAAAATGTCCTCGCTACAACAACAGGAACCTCAAAAGTTCCCCTTAGAGTTCCATGTTACTCTGTCACAGTTCCTCCACGATCGAATGGTCCATTTAAACAAGGAGTTATTTATGATTAAACGAATTCATAGAATCATAAGCTGATCAAGTTACAGAGGTAATTTCCACCATATTTGAATTTATATGGCTAAAGGATTCAGCAAATTACTTTGCATTCATCATTGCCTTCTATGAAAGGTGATTAGTGGGCAGCCTTTTGTTGGAAAAAAACTTCGAATTGCTCTTGGCCTAATTAAAGGGTGGCATAGACACAAAGAGATATGCGCCTCCTGCATAGGTGAGAGAAAAACAAATAAGAAAAACATGAGATAGCTTCATGTTTCCAGTTTTGAAGTTTATTTTACAGGAATCGGGACGTGTAAATTTAAAAGTGGTGCCTGAAGAAGGAGGTGTTTAGAATTTTAAAATAGTTGCGACATTTCTGGAAGGTAGGTTCGTTTTTTTGTCGACTCTACTATTAGATTTTTATTTAACTCACGTGCCAGCCCTGATTTCTGCCACTTGTCTCAGACTTTCTCTGTGATGACGAGTAAAGCCAAACACGATGACCGTGTTTGGTTGG